ATTTAAATTGGATAGCCCAACACCATGATATTTGAGCTCAAAGTTATATTGCCAATGGCAAAAGGGGCGGGGCGCGTATCAAATGTCTGAACCAGTACCGGCAAAGAACCGCTCAAACGTTTCTTTTATTTTGTATAATGCGTAAAATAGAATGAAAATGACGTAAAAACGGTAGGTTTTGTACAGAAATAAACCAAAGGAATTTAGTCAGCTCAAGAAATGGTTGGTCAAGGAATCCGTCCGAAACTCTCCATCGAAATCGGTCATTCGCAATTTGCCACTTATTCTCGTTTGATTGAAATCTTCCAATCCAATCCAATCTCTTCATTGATTCTCTATAATTTCCTGCTACCTTTTGGTCATTATGTCATGTTGACAATGTAAAGAAATTGTTTTTGATTTTTAAAGCTTTATTACGAAAGATGCACAACGAAATAATGCTAATCAAATAGCCGCACGGTGGAAACCCGAAGTTGAACAATGATTAAATGTTTAATGTACAAAATTATTCTAATATCAAGAGAGAGGCACATTTGTTTTAAGGGAAGGAAACCATTTGGCATTTCTGGTTGAATGCTAACTTTGATCACAGGAAAGTTGAGAGAACTAGAAAAAAAAAGGAAAGTGAAAGAGAAAAATGACATGAATTTGATGGAAGAAAAGAAAGCATGGCACAGCCATTTGAATCTTCTTGGTGGAACACAGTTTTGAATAGAAGAAGCAATCGAGGACTTTATTGAAGATTTACAATTGAGGACGAAGAACCAAAATGGTGACAATGCCTAAAATGTACGCAGCGACAAGCTTTTGTTGCAGTGTCAGATGGACCCATGATGGAATGAGAGAAGATCCCGAATTGGTGTCTCCAATTGTGGGCACAAGAAGGGCACAAGCACAGACAATTCCCGTTAGAATACAGAACAATTGATTCTGGGGACTGGGCGACTGGGGTTGATTGGATGGATCCTGAAATTGGATGGTTGATTGAAGGGATCCTGTTTGAATGTGTCTTTGCTTTCAATTTTAATAATGTCAATGTCCAATTTCACTAACCTTTGGATCAATATGCACCGTTGGTTCTTTTCTTTTCGATCGATCATTGGGTAAAGATTGAAATTCATTCGAAGTCGTGGAAGATGAGGCTTCCAGAACAGTTCGTAATCGAATGTCTTTACAACCGAGAAGCTAAATGATTTTTATAGGTATATAGTCGATAATTTCTTGTAAAACATTAGTCACTTCATTATTTACAGAATTTACTCTTTATTTTTATGGCCAACCTCTCGCTCGCCAAGTCGTCGTGTCTCGAATCGAAGCTTGTCAATTTGCCCAACTTGAAGCCGTTGTTTACAGCGAATCACACTAAAAACGATAAATGATATGATAAACGAGATCTAACTCAAATGAACTTTGGCAGTTTTTTTATCGTTCAAATGTTTTATTCATTTTTATAGTTCAAATCACTTTGCAACTTACATATCCTTTTGACATCGCTCTCTCAAAGTCCCTTCATTGTCAGGAACCGTGTAGTTGTGAGCCGCTGTGCATAAAACTAAAAAAGAGATAGCAATATCACTTTGAAGCTCCAATTATTGATCCAATTCTGATTGTTTGTTTAAAACTGTAGATCAACGTACTTCTATAGGAAATCGGATAATCAAAAGGATTGTACAAGGTGAAACATTTCCGATTTGGATGAGGATCGTCTTTCGCCGAGGTCCCCACCTGAAACAATTGTGTCTAAAACATGGACATGTTAATAATACTTATACAAAGTGATCGAAAAGTTCTTATTTTTTTCTTCTTATTGTTAAATTGTTCAATTTCATCGGTGCTATGGATCTGTATAAGCATTGGAAGTTGACTACCGTATTTCTTCGAATAGAAGACCGGGTAAAGAGTATCATCGCGTACTCCTGCGTAGCAGCCCTTTTTAAAATTTCTTTTCTGCATAAAAGCTTTCAATCAAGTGCTATAGAGCTGAAAAATGACTCAAAAATCTGTTAGCTCATGTGGTATTTTTGAGTCATTTTTCAGCTCTATAGCACTTGATTGAAAGCTTTTATGCAGAAAAGAACATTTAAAAAGGGCTGCTACGCAGGAGTAAGCGATGATACTCTTTACCCGGTCTTCTATTCGAAGAAATACGGTAGTTTCGGCAGCGTGCCACTTGTGCGGCTCAAAGAGCCAACCATATAAAAAGATATCATAAGCTATGGGCCCTTTATTAGTTTTAAGTTTAATTTTATTTAGGTTTTTATTTTAAAAAGGCTTAGTTGAATAGCTTTCCTCAATTTAGCTTATTTTACAATCAAGTTTTAGTAAAAAGTTTTACGGAACTTTTGGATCAACCTGTAATCACTTTGTATTTTGCTGCTCTCTTCATTTTTAAGCTTAACAACACTGCAGAGACAAAACTTCGTGATTCTCATACTCATGGTATTACTTTACTCTGTGACTCTTATATTCATGGGAAATATTCGGTATTAATAAACTTCGGGGGGGTCACTTTGACCCGACTTGATCAGATCCTATTCTAGGCGTTTTCTAGTCTTCTTTTTTGCATTTTCTGGGGTAATCAGAATAATTGGAGCTTCAAAATGATATTTTCTGGGGTAAAGCTTAATCGATTGACGATATTTTTAGAATATTTTGAACAAGTTATCACTTTTTATTTTGTCCCTTTCTTTATTTTTAAGCTTAGCAACACTGCAGAGGCAAAACTTCAGCTAGCTGATCAAAATATCAATAAAAATTGTTCAAAACTTTCTAAAAATATCATCAATCGATTCATCATGCTTGATTACCCCAGAAAAAGTAAAATAACGTTGGTAAAATAGTCAACAAAATAAAATCTGATCAAATCGGGTCAAAGTAGCCGCCCTCAAACCAAACACCGTATTCTCTCTAATAGTAGTGCGCTCTACTATTTTTTTCAATCGCCTCTCGAACCGCAATACTATTAGAGAGTGCACTACTATTAAAGCACTACTATTAGAGAGAATACGGTATACATTTTACTAACAAACCACAAATTCGGCTTCACCGGGGAAAACGAAAACGGGCACTCGCCCCGACGCGTCCATCATCGATGCATACGGATTGTCTGGAGAAAGATAGAAAGATTAAAATAATCTCATGAAACTGAAATTTACATTTACAATTTTATTTGATAAGGCTTTTGTTTTTCTTTGCCGTCAGTTATTAGGTCGCCAGCGACACGTGATCGATCAATAAATAGTCAATAAGCAGTAAATAGCCACAAAGTTGTTTTGAATTAACACCTTGAAATGTTTACAAGGCAATTTGATTTCTTAAATGGGTACTTGATTGAAAATTGAATTGAAACATTTGAAAAGTTGATTTATAAGTGTAAGTAAGTGGAACGGGAGCTAGAAAAAAACCGGCTTCACATTAAATGTGCGCTTTTCTTGGAGTATTGATTTGCGGAAATTCAAGGTCATTAAAAGAATGGCTAATTTAAAGGAAAGCTTTTACTGATTGTCATCAACAAAATCAAAGGATGCCTGTTTTATTTTAAATTATTTAAGGTGATTTGTTCGAGTTGGGAGAGCTTCTAAAGCTTCTTCTAAAGCTTCTTCTAAAGTTCTTCTTCTATTTGCCCCTAGGTAATCTCTATACATTTCAAAAACGAACGAAACCTTCTTCCATTGTTAACCATTAGTGATTGCCTTGGTTTTCAAAAATATTCGTCAATCAAGAATGGGGGAAAATGATAAATGAAGAAAAACAGCCGTTTCCGAACTGCTGTGTCTGCCTGGAAAGCTGATAACACTTTTCGAGAAATCAAAGAAAAAGAAAAGACGTCTTTTTTTTAATTTTGCAAGAAATTTATTAAACCTTTTACAATAAAAAAAACAGTTTTAAGCGAGAATATATATGAATAGATTAGAAGAAAATTTAAAAGAAGTACCCGTCCACACAATGAAAACGCAACGCGTGCTCACAAGATGAGGGGAAATTGCTCATGTGAAATTTTCATTTCGAGCAATAACGATAACTCGCGACAAGAGACTAACGAAAAAAAAATTGCGACCCACACATCAAATAAATAGAGTAATCAATAACAAGAACAATTCAGTTACCCAAAGGGAAAACAATAAGTAGCTCATTTATTGATTAGAGATAAATTGGAAGATACCTAATGTGCTTGAAAAGCCTACAGGATAATTGTCCAGATGTCTAGATGTCCAGAACAATTGTCAGTTTACAAAAAGATAACAAATCGAGAACAAGAATGCACTCAGCTCGACAAAATGAGACGAGGAACCAGCTTGGTGCTTCGCCAAGAAATAACAAAACAATAAAAAGTGATTGGGCGGGGGAAATGGAGTGGGACGTGGGGGCCACCGAAAGGAGAAAAAAAAGGGTCAGTCTCCGACCACGACAAGAGTTCAGATGGCCCGGGTGAAAGAAAGACCTAGGTGAGAAAGATTGTATTGAATGGGGTTTTTTTTGTTGAAAGACACCCGAACCACCCAATTGATGGGTGCCGTCCAGAACTATTCAGGGATACACAATATTCAGAATCTATTGAGCCCTAGAAGTGACGGCACCGCCGTGTCAACGAAATAAAGCACGCGAAAGTTTCTAGCGGACGGGCACACAAATTGAAAATTCTCAAAAAAAAAATGGAATCCAGAGAGGACGGACACTCTAGGAATTTGGTGATTTGCATTTAATTTTGACCTTGAGTGATCGTGGAAAAAAAGACAAAAATGGCTAGTTCTATCGGGCTAGGAAAACGCTTATCGAAAAGAGGAAAAATGATCGTCTGGATTGATTTAAGAGAAAAATTTTCTCTAGTTCTATCGGATAGGTCATGTGACCTCTCCCTGATCGGGGGCGCAGCTGTGCGCTCTGTCTATGTGACTTTTTGTCACAATTTGTAGTTTGTAATGATTCTCGAGTACCCTAGTAGACAAGAGGCTACAAAGGGATCAACTAGCTGCACAAATGGTGACTCACTAAAACCAAGTCAAACGATCAATTCCTAGGAATTTTAGAAATAAAGATAGAAATTTTAGGATTACAATAGAGAGCAACATCTGGAACAAATTAGTGGAAATGAAGTTGAAATACCTAGCCAACACCAATTTATTTCAATAGAACAAGATGACTAAACTAGAAACAACAATAATTTAGTTTTAAAGTTTTATGGTTTAATCTAGTTCCACCAGTCGTTCGCTGGTTGTTGACGAGCAGGCTGGGTACGATTTCCACCAAAGCCGCCAGATGAGTTGAAATTTCCTCCGCCCTGACGACCTCCATATCCATTGCCCGACCCACTTCCATAGCCACCACCGCCGCCACCACCACCACCTTGGCCTCCTTGGGCAGAAAGACGATGATCACGGCCTGGAATTGGAATTTTATTTTTTTTCTGTACATGGTCGTTTTATTCGCTTTCCTTTCATAGGTTTGCTTTCCAATATTCTCACTTTCTTGTTGTTAGACATGTTCTTCAACTTGTTCTTATTTAAACCAACCTCCAAAGCGGTTTCCATTTCCACGAGCAGCACCTCCACGTTGTGGTCGACCCGATCCACCATATCGTCCACTATCGCTAGCCACACGCTCAAGCCATTCAGGCAATTCTTGGTTGGCCTCCACAATCAGATCCATCAAATCGCGAGCAATGTTACGATTTTTATCGTTGAAGAACGAAGTAGCAAGTCCTAAATTTTAATATCTTTTTAATTGCATCACTTGGTAGTTTTAGTCGTGCCTCGGATTAAGATTTCATTAAGATTTTAAAGCATTTTTTTCTTTACAAACCAATATTTCCGACACGTCCAGTACGTCCAATGCGGTGCACATATTCGTCGATATCGTTTGGCAAATCATAATTGATCACGTGTTTGACATTGGGAATGTCGAGTCCACGCGCAGCTACAGCAGTCGCTACCATGACGTTTGCCTGTCCCGACCTGAAATCATGTATTCAATTTTCATTTTAAGCCAATACCTGAATTGATCCAAATTCTGTTCACGCTCGAATTGCTTCAAATCTCCATGAATAGCCACTACACCATAGTTGTTTCGCTCCAAATAATATTGAAGATCCGAGGCACCACGCTTTGTTTCCACAAACACCACCGTTAAAGCTTCGTGCCCTAAAATTACGAATTTAAAAGTACATATTTTAATGTTTTAAACCGTATTAGGTTCAGTTATTCGATCACTGCTATTAACTACTAACACGCTACGATTAAGGTAAACCTCCTGCATCGAGAAGATCCATCAAATAGCTTCGTTTCTCGGGCTCTTCTACCCAAACAACTTTTTGCATGATGTTCTCTGAGGTTGAGCCCACACGTCCAACAGCCAAGAAGACGTAATCGGGTAAGAGGAAATCTTGAGCCAAAACCTAAAAATTTTCATAATTTTCTGCAAAGTAGTTTATGGGTTACCTGAATTTCCTTCGGGAATGTAGCCGAAAACATGGCGGTCACTCGCTCACCTTTCATTGGCATGCTTGAAAGCTCAACAATCTAAAAATAACCATTTTTAGCGTTAAAAGGAATAATTAATTTTTGGGCATTAAGCATGTTGCTAAAACTCACTTGTCGAATTTGGGGCTCAAAACCCATGTCAAGCATGCGATCAGCTTCATCCAGCACCAAATATCGACATCCGGCAAGTCCAATGTATCCTTGTTCCATTACATCGATAAGACGACCAGGTGTCGCAATGAGAATGTGGCATCCAAGCTGAAAAAACAATACAAAACGTAAGCCATTTAAATAATTTTTTAACTTATACTTTTTTAAACTTTTCGGACTAATATCGTTTAGAAAAGCTGATCCTAGCTTAAATTTTTGGCGAAGCTAAACGTTGTAAAAATTTAATTTATAAAACTTACGCGAAGTTTGTTGATTTGATCGCGATAATTTTCGCGTCCTCCGTAGAGAAGTGCCGAAGTGATGGGTGTACGATAGGCGAACTTTCTGGACTCGTTGTAAATCTAAAGGCAAAACATTATATCGTCATGTTTTACATTCAAATATTCAACTCGCATTATTAAAACTTACTTGAAGTGACAACTCACGAGTGGGCGAAAGAACAAGGGCACTTGGGAATTGCTTCTTGCGACCACTGCGCCCAATGTCTTCACGATGAATAGCTTCAGGTCCATTCTGAATAAAAATAATTACAACAAAATATGCTGTACGAAACCTGAAGAATGTGATTGATAAGTGGCACCAGGAAAGCAGCTGTCTTTCCAGATCCAGTCTGTGCACATGACTAAAAAGTTAATCATTATAGCATATACATACGTTAACGAACAACATAACTGTCCTATAAAAAGTTTACCAAAAATTTACCATCAGATCTCGATTATCCATCAAGGCTGGAATGCTGTACTTCTGAACTGGCGTTGGACGGTCGTATCCCGACAATTTAATATTCTCTTCAATCCATGTGTGCAATTTGAGCTCACCAAACTAAAAATTCCAATAAATTTTTAGAAGCAAAAATAAATACCAAAGTGATCGGTTGTGGCACATTTTCGCCAGTTGCTTCAACGGGAATTTCCTCGTATTTGTCGAAGTTGATTCCCGAGTTCATTCCAGCAAAGAGCTCCTGTTCCAGGCGTTCATCTAAATAATGGAAAATAGTTCAAGAAAATTAAGTAAAATTAATTACCTCTTGGAAGCTGACGACTCCATCCTTGCGGCTGACGCTCTTCAGCAGTGTTATTCCAACGATTACTAAAATAGGGAGATTTTAATTGAAAACTTCTTACTTACTTTTGTGCGGGTGGAGGTCCACTATACCCGCCTTGCCCACCACGGTTATTGTCGAAACCCTCGTTTTGTTGTTGGCCGCCACCATTTTGACGTCCCCATTCTTGTTCATCGTGGTAATTTCGGCGATCGTACGATTGGCGCCCTCGATAGGCGCCTCCACCGCCACCGTTGTTTGAGTAGTCTCCACTAAAATATAATACTACGTGTTTGAAAACCAGTCAATTTAAGTTATCAGCCCATTATTCTACTAGCTGTTATATTTGCCCAATTTAAAGCTTTAAAAAATAAAAGACCCGCTAAAATTTTGTTTTGAAAATAATCAATCTAAACAACTGACCGTCCACGACCACCGCCTTGACCACCACCACGAGGACGTCCTCCTCCATATCCACCATCACGTCGATCCTCATATCCGCCACCACGGGCCGATTGCGAGCCATCATCGCCCCAATTGCCGCGCTGGTTGAAACTCGAACTCTAAAATTTTAACAATAGATAACAAGCATTTATGTTAAAACGACAAACCTTATGCATTCCTCCTCCTTGTTGTCCTTGTTGGCCGCGATAATTTCCGCCACCACCCCCGCGGCGTTGTCCATCATCACGTTGTCCATCATCACGTTGTACATCATCACGTTGACCATCATTTCGCATGTGAGGAGGCACATAGCGGACGCCTTCTAAACAAATACAATTAAACTGGGGTAAATTTAATCAACAAAAGGGAATAGTTTATCTAATTACGTCGGAAAGTTGTTTGTAACGCAGTAAAACTTACGGCCCCCGCCACGGTTGTTTCCTCCAAAGTTTTCTACATTTTCATTCATATCTGAAAATAAATTAATTATTCAACAAAACGAAAGTTTTAACAGACGAAAGAGAAAATAACAAGAATGAAACGTAAAAACCCGTTGATACACTCGAAAAAAGTTATCTGCCAAAGTTACCAATGGCATTGATAGATAGCCTTTATAAATTACCCGATAAGAACCTTGAAGCAAAACGGAGCCAATTATAATGTAACTTTACAAACAACCGCAAACTATTTTAAAAATCTAGAAGTAGATATGAAAGTCAAACAAAAGTTTCAGCGTTCATTGCCATGAGATCGTTTTCGATTTCTGTGTTGTGGAAAAGAAGGCATCAATCCAGTTTCACAGGCAATTGGGGCTTCGGTGAAATAAACATGTTCAATAGCAGCTGATGCAGAAATGCGTCCTTTTGGATGATAGGTAAATAAACCATTCAATAAATCAATGCAGGCTGATGTCGCATTCTCAAACAATCTTTTCAAATTATTGTAAGGCTGAGATCGTAGTGTGAAGTTTTTCATTTCCGGTAATTCGCTAAACCCAGGCCAAATTCTCTCGGTTGGTGTCCCCAAAAGATCAATGATTTTCCCCATCTGATCAATATCACTTTTCCCGGGTAGAAGAGGTCGATGGAGAAGTAATTCGCCCAGAATACATCCTATTGCCCACATATCCACAGCCGGACCTTGAGATTTTGATCCAAGCAACAATTCCGGACATCTGTACCAAAGTGTTACAACTCGTGGGGTCATCGGATGAGCTTCATTCCCGAACGTTCTCGCCAGACCAAAATCGGCAATCTTTAGAACTCCTCCCGCAGTTAACAACAAGTTAGAAACTTTGAGATCTCTGTGCAGAACGTAATGAGAATGAAGATATGCCGTTCCACGCAAAAGCTGCATGATGATGCATTTGACCTGAGCCTCTGAGAAGGGAATCTTCAAATTATCGAGAAGCGATGCGAGATCTTGTTCACAATATTCCATGACAAGGAACATACTTTTCACATCCCGAGCTACAGCCATTCCTTTCAAATCGACAATATTATCGTGCTTCAATCGTTTCAATAAGGTTATTTCCCTCAAAGCTGCCTCCGATATCCCATCTCGAGTCTCATCGTTTCGCACTCGTTTCAAAGCAAGAATCTCCTTTGTGTGAACATCTCGAACGCGATAAACAATTCCGTAGGTTCCTTCTCCAAGTCGATTCAGCTTCTCGAAATCGTTCACATTCCTACATTGGCCATGTCCAAGAAATTCCCGATCAATTGTCGTCCGTTTTCCCGTTAGAATTGAAACGTAGTCGAAAGAAGCCAACGCTGACGTTGATACACTCTCCGATGCCATTCAAGTCCTAAAAAAATAAAAATAAGTGTAAGTAAGGTAAACAAATTGACAAACAAACAAATAGAAAATGTATGTTGAAATATTACGAAATAGAGCAAACGATGATAACAATTGTGCAATATACAGTCATACGCAAAAGTCTTGGCGTGTTCAATGCAGGAAAATACTTTTGAGGTTTTCAGCAAATTTAACATAAAAAGTGTTAAAGGGTTTTGGTTAGCCCGATATCTCTAGTTTTGAGAACAAAACACCCCATTTAGCAACAATTTATCATTTCTGAGAAATCAATGAACAAGTAGCAACAAGTCGAAAAACAGGCACGCAAAAGTATTTGCGTATGACTCTAGATAAAGGGATAGATAAATGGATTAATGATTTTAAAAATTTAAGGGCGAAGAAATCATTTCAACACTGACTTCAAGGTACACAGAAATCAATCATTGAAAACGAACGCATATAAAATAGTGAGGTAATTTCGTGAAAAGCGCAACGATTTCGTCATCGATGGACAGCCAGGTTGCGAGCTTGCCGCACAAAATTTGGGGTGTGAAATAGGTAACGGACAGTGCGAAAGAGGGACAAAGAAGAACTTTTGTTATTTATTTCACAGAAATTTCTCAGTATCTTTATACTAGTTTTCAAGAGGAGATTCAGGGCTATCGAATGGCCATAATAATTTAGTTTATTTTTGAATTTTCCCAAAATTATCAGTAAAATAGTTATCGACTACGCGACTGTACGCTCAAAATCGTCGTTGCGAATGTGTTAAAGCGCAAGAAAAAAATGCTAACAAATTGGTACGCCGCGATAATCGCTGACCATGAATAGGACTAGGAGAAAAACGATTGGGAAAAACCGGTCGACGGTGTCTAGACTAGAGAGGGCAATGTTCGAGAACCAGTTGCAATAGCAACAAAAAAGAGAAGAGAAAATGAAAAGCTAGATGTGTATGTTGAAGGGGAATGGGTGTTCGTGCGGGAGAGTCGTCTGAACTTAAAGAGAGAATGTGCACTCCCCGGTCTTTTCCATCGGTCGGTCGCTGTGGGACCCTTTCCCCTCTACACCCGTCGACCAGACACACATAAAGGAGAATGGGGAGAGAGAAGAGAAACGCCACGAAAAGCGATCGATTGAGGAGTGAGTGCATGAGAGAGAGCAGACAGTGCTGTGCTTTCTTCTGCTCCTTCTACCCACAGCACCCCACTCAGAGCGTGGCTTGCACCGAGACAGCCGGGTCACCCGAGGACCCGTCCCCAGGCACCAACTTGGAGGTCAACTGGGGACATCCAACCCCTTTTTCTTCTCTTTTTCTCCCTTTCTCCTCAACCTTCAATCTCCCCTTCTCCACTCACATCGATCCGATCTCGATACAATCGAAGACTGCGAAATTGATAACGGCACTGGAGCCGACCCATACGGCGAGAGCGGTTTGTCTTTTCTTAGTTTTTCCGCTTTTTGCAGTGCAAGTTTCGACGAGTTGCTCTAATTCTTTTGTCACCTTTGTGGCTTTTCGATTCTATCCTAAATGCTTTTTCTCTTTTGAACTCATCAAAACATTTTTATAACTGACGGTGGATGGCCTTTTGAAAATCTCCACGGAGAGGCCGTTAAATCGATTTTTGCCTGCCTCGCGATTTTTGCCTTGCCCTTGACTTACCTCGCGAAATCTCAAGACATTAAAATCGATATTTTAAGAGACTTTTGAAAGTTTTCTCACCAAAATCTTTATGGACACTTTTCTATCGATTGATCCTTTTTGCGATCGTCTTCTATCGATTGATCCGTTTCGCAAAAATTCGTTGTTCCAGCAAAGTCGTAATAAAGTTTTCCATCAAAACCTTTCCAAAAGCTTCACTTTTAAGGTTATATGTTCTGGTTTTTGAAACATGTGTCGAAAAAAATGTCAGCATTTTTCCCTTCCTGTCAACATTCATACTGTAAGAGATAAAAAGTCTGCATCCAAATTTCACAATCTCTTTACTTTGTAAAACGGACGTTTTTGTTGATTAACCAAACCAAATGAAAAAAAATCGATCGACTAATCTTCTTCCAATTTACATGTTTTCTGAGAGTGAGGAAGAAGCCTAGAATTCTCGGTTCTATCATTTGTTGGGATTAGCCTTATAATAAGAAATAACCCAGAACTTTTTATTCTTAATATCGATTTTTGTTAAACTACTTGCCTACGTATCCCTTTTCGAAAAGATTTCCCCATTCCCTTTTCCCATTACAAATCGATGAGAACGCAAAGGTTTTATGCTCGTTTTTGTTTGAGAATCTCCCGTGGGTTCAAATTAAAAGAGTTAGAGTCTAGAAATTTAATCAATCTTTTATGGTAGTCGGTCGGCTTATTCACGAATAAAGATTTGACGCTAAAAGTCCCTTTTATAACTACACAATAACAGGCAAGTAGTTATCGCAATGCTTTACATAAAAGATTTTAACCTTTATAAGCCTTTGCCATGGAAATATAATAATCTCTAATTGTTTTTCGATTTGCTCAGCAGATTTGCTGAAAAAGTTCAGTTCTTTCTGTAATGCTTTGTAAAAAAGGAATTCTTTCTGTTGCTACGTGCTTTTCACGAAAACATTCTTCAAATCAACAGGAGAGAAACAGGAACTTCCCATTCATTATTGATTTGAGCAAAACTTTGGCTAGAATGCGCCGATTTTCTTACAAATCGATCTTGCATATCTTTTCAATGCATTTACTGAACAAAGCGTCGAAAGTTCGATTCGTCTTCTATCTATGCTTATCTAGTTGCTTATCTAGTATCTAGTTCTACTCATTTTAAAAAAGCTTACAATTAGTTCTACTCAATTTAAAAATACATTTATTCACAAGAATAATGTGGTACAAAGAATACACCAGCATAACCCCTAAGCTGTAAATATAGGGAAAACCCCTATATATGGAAAAAAACCAATAATATAGCCGGAAAATTAAACCAATAATCTGCCCGACTAGGATCAAGGGTTCTTAACCACTCGGCCATGACGCCCTTTTTTTCTTAAACAAAAACAAACACTAAAACGAGATTTTTTAAAAGCACAAATATTTTGCCACACTAATTTCTCTTGACCTCCTTTTTCGAAACGATTTCTTTCCATCTGGACCATTCATAATAATTTCCTCTTTACTCGTTGCTCAATGAAATCCAATTACCACCACTCACTATCAGCCCCTCACAACGCTTAGTCATTTATTATTCCAATTTTTGCTGAGAAAAACTTGGAAAAGTTGAGCACTTTTCGAGGGATTTCACAAAAAGACTCACTCGATTTGCCCCTTCTTTTCCTTTTTCTTCTCAAAAATCTCCAGTCGGCTTCAATTTCTCAAACTCCATCATCCTTTCTCTCATTTCATCGATTTTTATTAAATTTTGCAATAAAGGACTAAAAATATTAGGTAAAAATCTCCATGTATTCTGATGCAATGAGTTATCGTTCTTTCAGTACTGATTAATTCAATCAACTCTTTGTCCTAAGAATCGATTACCCACACTCACAGCCCCTTTTCTTTACACATTTATGAATTCAAAAAGATAATTGAACTCAATTTTTTTTGTACTTGTTGAGTCAGCTTCCTTTTAGAAAATAATCCCTTCAGGAAATCCCCTTGTAACCATCGTCATCACTGAACTAAACTCTTCTTTTTCTTTTTTCTTTGCATTATAAAGCCAGGTTTACTCTTTTTTTAATACATCTTTTGCTTTTTGAACAAAATGTCAATGTCTGTGTAATCCTATCCAAGAATTTTTACCTTTCAACTCATCAAAACTTGCCTCTGAAATTCCATCGTTGTTTAGAAATTCAATTCATTATTCAAATAATTTCAGCCGTTGAATGGAGCGACCATCGGGTAGCGACAGGGCAGGTGAAGACAAAGGTAAAGACATTATCTAAAATTCTTATAATTTATAAAAAAACTAATTTCAAGGCTCTTCATGGGTGCCTTCTTTTGATACCCTTATCCTTTATTACACAAACAAAACAATTGTTAATAAAAGAAACATACGAAAAGTGAAAACAAAGTCACAAACGATCATGCGTCCCATCGTCAACCAGAAAAAATTAAAAACAAAACATAACAAAAACAAGCATTATTTCAACTGGAAATGAGAATGAAAAGAAACTTTTTCTCTTTTGGAAGGTTACGGTATTAGAGGTTTAGAGTCTTAAGTCAAAGTAAAATTCAGCACCATTTAGCCTCGAGGTATCGCTGTCCACGTCGTCGTCGTCGAATGAGTTCTGGTCGATCACCAGCGCCATCTGAGCGTCGTACTCGACTATCCACGTCCGGAAATCCTTTAGCAAGAGCTACCTCCACTTCCGCTTCATCAAATGCCTCAAATGATCGTACCCCAACACCCGATCAACCAACTTCGGTATGTTAAAGAGAGTTTGACTTGCGTCCTATCGCCGCAATGGATCTGAGAATTAGGTGTATATGCGGGGATGAAAAGCAAGTTCTAACCAGGGAACTCCTAGAAGTTACATTTCAGGAGCGATCTGATTTCAAGGTGCAAGCTGTCAGCTGCAAGCCTTGAGTCAGCTAGCTTGTTGTTTGGTGAAATTAGTTGAAACTTTGAAGGCTTATATCTTAAAAATGGTTTATGATAAGTAGGATTTGAAAGCAGTTTCGGGATGCTCTTAACCAGGGGATGTTTGCACCTCGGATTCAGGTCGCTCCTAAAATGTAACTTTAAGAGGTTCCCTGGTAAGTCCTAATTTAAAAATAAACAGCTAACGATAAATAAACTGAAAATCTTTTTCTTCAGAGCAAGAAAGACGGAAATTCACGTTCTCGTGCTGGTTCAATGTCAACCTCTCAACTGCCCGATTCCATTCGACCTTTGAGAAGAAGTGCTCGATTGAAGCCCCAACCTCTTGCACCAATCGATACAACAGAGCAGCTGCATGTGAACACGGAAATCGCAAGAGCATCTCGCAGGTTTGTTCTATTCTTTATTAAAGATTTTGCAAAGTTAGTATCTCGTCTCAATACAGTATACTGGTAAGATTCGTTCGTTGCGTTTAAATCGATAGTTTTTCTTTTCTTTTGAAATTCCATTGGGCGGCTCGTTTCATTCAACGGGATTTCTTTGGAATTTGTTCGCCCTTTCCTCCACAATTTCGCTCACAGACAAAAAACAAGATTAATCTCTTGTCATTTTAATGTTTTATTTAAAAAAATAGACTAAAGCTTTTGCGGTAACGTTCAATGAATCATTTTTCACCTCACCTCTTTCACAACTAAAAAACAAGATACAGCAATTGTGGGTACAGCAATTTGGGTACAGCAATTTGATAATTCGATTCAATCAGAGATTTGCTTTCTTTATCACCTCCATTCCATTCAAAGTTTTGCTGATTGAAATCATATGTGTAACACATTACAATACGGTGAACCCACCGGTGGACCGTACGTGGATTTTTGAAGTCAATTGAGCTGAAAATTGGCCGCAGGCGGTTTTCGGAAACAAGAAATTCGAATCCGTGCTTGATTTTTAAAGAAAACGGCTCTATTTTTGGATATTTCATTCAGTTTAATTACCCAGGTGCAACCACACATCCAGGGTCGTGAGTCAGAAGGTGCGCAGTTACAAAAATATGAAAATTTCCGTGTTTACGTAATCGTGGGCATCCTAGGGATAAAGAACAAAACCTAAATCCGGTCTTTTCTTTTCAATCAATAATGAACTACATAATACAAAAGTTGTCTGTGGCGTTTTTCACTTGTTACTCTCGTTTCTCTTTATTCCTTTTCCAATGCCATTTTTCTATATTCCTCACCAAATCCTCCTTTTTTATCTTTTGTTTTGGATTTAGAAGTAAGCCTCACATTTTGTAAGCACTCAAATAAAAAAATTCAATCGATCTCTGCCACAAAAAATTGCCCGACGCATTAATCATCTTTTCCCTCGATGAAATTTTCAAATTGTCATTAAATCGATAGAACATTTTTTTTATTTGTTTTTTGGTCGCATTAATGTATCACTATTTTGTAAATAAGTTGAACATGCAGTTTATTGAGCGTAAGAAATGATGTGTGTAAGTGTTGGCCGAATTTTGTGAGAGAAAAACTATTGGGGAGTATTGGGGGTGATCGGGGCAGCGATAACCTTTTTGTCTTTCTTGGGCTTTTTGAGGGGAATCGCTTCTACTTTCAAAGCTTTTCACTCATTTTTTTCATCAATCAATTCCATGCATATAATAGAAATAATATCCAGATTCGAGTTGATTGTTTTATGCATTGATTGCTCGTTTCGTTTTTAGGGAAAAAGATCGATTTATTGGAATCGAATTGTACCCGAGAGCCGCTCATACACACAGCACACACTCTTTCATCCTCTCTTTCTCATTTCTTTCATCCAATCGACTAGAAATACTCAAAATGTCATTTCTTTGATAGTCTTTTAGTGCGTTTTTAAAATACCAAGTTTATAGTCGACTTGTTTACAATCTTTATGAGTAATAGAGGTATGAATAATAGAATATTTCTATATCATAAAGATTACTAATTGTAAGATAAGGTTGTAACAAAAGTTAGGTGCAAAAATCAATTTCCAGTCCTCGTCGTCGAGGAGGGGACATGCAACCGAGCACATCACGAGCTTCTGATGGGTTCGTTTTCTTGTTGTGCTATGTTATGTTATGAAAATGATTGCTGAAACGATAATACGTTGCAAAGAATGTAGAAAACAAATTGCGATTTAGACCCCTTCCACCGGTAGCCGCCGTGAATGTGAGCAATATGGTTGAACCAACAATCGGTGTTGCGCTTGGAGCTCTTGGAGCAGCCGGCGTAACTCTAACTGATCAGGTTCCTTCAATAATTCATCGAAAAGTTACAATGAACAGTTACAATGAACAGCATACAATGGACAATGTTTTTTAATGTCTTTGTGACTCTTGCAATTCAAAGAATGAATGCATTTTGTTTTACAAATGCTATTTGCATACATATTAAGCAAAAGATTCATTTAGAACAGGCAAACAACTTCTGATTTCTTTATCAGGTGTTCCTGTTTACACTTTTTTGATAAACAGAAAAACAGATAAACAGAAAAACAAACCCTTATTTTGCCAATCAGCCCTTTTTAGGCTGTTCAACAAGCAGTCCGTCAAGGAGTCATCGATGAAGCACAAGCCATTCTCAACGCCGAAACTTCTCACCATCAAACTGTTCAACAACATCAACAACATCAACAACTGAGAAATTCTCTGCAACAATTAGCCTCATTCCCTCAAGCGCAGAATCTCGTTGCTATTCAGTCTTTCCAACAGCCAAATCCTTATCCAACATTCTCTGGACTCTTTGCTCCGTGAGTTTTTCTCAGCGATTTTTAGAAGAAACGTACTTGATTATTCTTTAGAGCTATAATAAATTAGAGCCATCATAATATCATAATCATAACAGAATGTATCTATCGTAAATTTGACTTACTCCTTAATCCATAATCCAGCAATTTCAGATCGTTCAGCGCCGCTAACGGCTTCCCACCACCTTTCTATTCATCAATCGGTTTTGCTCAACCATTCGCACAGGTTTGTGATTAGCCTTGTCAAGTCCAAAAGGAAATTCGAACAACAAAGATAATTTTAGGATTTTGATTGGAGAGTCCCTCAAATGAGCACTTCAACCGCTGCTGCAGCGGCAATGTTTGCCCCACCAATCTATCAGACACCGATATCCTTTGTACAGCAATTAGGTTAGTAAAAGCTTTGAAGCAAAAGCTTATAAAAGTGAAATTTCGTTTAGCCGGACACCCTCCATCAACCTCTGGGTCTTCGAGCCAATCAAGCTCCACTCAGCATATTCTTCAAATGCCTCCTGCTTACTCGCGAACACAGCGGTTGATCTTCTTTTCTAGAATTCGTTCTTTCTTTTTGACTTTCTCATGTATTTGTTAACCAAATGGAAAATCTTTCAGTTTTGACTTGCACTCGAGGATCACCCAAGCCGTACGAAGCACTTTACAACATGTGCGCGTCCTCGATGGATCACGTGAGTTTCCCCCTCAAAGATTCATTCAACCAATCACAACCACTTTCACAAATTAGCATATGAATGAAAAGATGATATCATTGATTTGTTCACCATTTATCGCTTCAAGATATCTGCTGTCCTAGATAAATTTATGGCTTGATAGGGTTGAAATAGACCCAGTGGCGTTTCTCATTTTATTGCCCACCAATAAAGATCTCCAGTGATATATGAAGTGACCCTGATTGTAGTCTAGATAATGTTTAAGTGTACAGTCTAGAAAAGTGGAACTAATGACCTAAAATCGTTTTTGAATCTAGATTTGGAGATAGCATTAAACTTTAAATGTTTTGACCCATTTTGAATATTTTGGCGATTAAATGAACCATTTTGCGAATCGGAGCGGACTTTGTTTATATTCTCAATCAAAAGAGAAAGACCACGGCCTGACTATGTGGCTACAAATGGATGAAAAGAGAGTAAAGGGAAAATGGGGATTGGGGATTGAGTGGAATGAGATGGACTCTGTCTTGTCTACACCCTAACCGTCTCTTTTCTATCACAACCTTTAGAGAGTCTTCACGGAGATGCTCAGTGTTGTCGAGGGTATTTGTTTGCTTAGCATAATGAACCACCAAACACAGATTAAACAGGATGTGGAGTTGAAATACTCGTTTTATTCAAGAACGACAATATTGTGAAATAAGTATCTCGAAACTATGGTAGTTTTTCTTCTAGTGAGCTTTGATTTTTCTTTTGGTGAGCTTTCTGAACTTTATTTGAGACATGGAACAATTGAAACTTTCAATTTGATTTCTTCTTTCAACTTCTTTCAATTGGAAAGACGTGGCTGCTGTTGGACTTCTCGACTTCTTGCAGAAAGCTTTTTGGACCTAGGAGGTGTTTGCCGAGCATTATATCGAGAGTTGTGAGTGTGTGTGGTGGCTGGCGTCAAGTAGAGGAGGAGAGTGGTGGAAGGGGCTCGTCCCCCTTCCATCTCTTTTCCAACTCCCCTTGAAACTCTTCCATCCCTTACCCTCTCTTCCCATCCCTTTACTCCTATCCACGACAATGCTACAAGCCTTCCTCTGCGTCTTTTCCCGTCACTCATCCATCCCAATTCTCTCTTCTTTTCTCAATCTCTTCAACGCGGTCAGCTGATCGTTGGGGGCTTGCCGTGTCTCCTCTGCGTCCTCTCCCATTTCCCTTTCACATTATTTTTTCCCTTCTCCGAATCTCCCATTTCTTTTCCCTTGCTCGGGGACTAGTCTCTCACTTTTCTTCAGTGTGTATCATATGCAAATCGACAGCCAACCGTATGCCCTAGGCCTTTTCTCAGTGCTATTCAAACCACCCGAGCTAAATCTATTATAGTCTTGGGCTTTCCATTGAATCTCAACTGATCTCAAAACTCAAAGCATTCCGAGTTCACGATCTCAGTTATTCAATTCTATTTGATAGCTATTCTATACAGCTGGTTCTGTCGAGAAAAGCACCCGAGGTGCCACTCATTTCGTCCCACTTTTTGTCGCAATTCGTGGACGTGTCTCTGTGAGAGATCGACGGAAAAGATAGACTAGAGTGAACAAAAAAGAGAAATGGACGACGATATGGAAGAAGGAGAAGTATCAATGGACATGGATATTGATGTCTCATCGATTCCAATGCCCGCCACTCCGCGAACTCCCCGCAAAGAAACACCGAATGTGTTTAATGACTTCATCCTTCGAGGACTCGACAGTCTCGCTGGAAAATGTACCGCGTACGGATTCGCTCCCGGTGTGTACTAAGCTTAATTCTCTTTAAACTTTTCAGAGTCAAAGAAACTTTATTAGAGATCTCAAACTTTTCCCTCACTGCCTTATCGCAGAAATCGGAAAAATGTTTTGACTGACTGATCTCATGAAAAACTGACACATTGATAAGAGAACAAAATTCCATTTCAAATGACAGCTGTATAAGATTTTTAAGTTTTCCATTTTGCTATCCTTGTTCTACTTCAATTGAGAAAAGAAGGGGGAGGGCAAAAGCGCAAATTCAAGGGCGAGGTTGGGGTGTGCGGTGCTCACATGTTTGTTGTTGAGAAGAGGAGACATGGATGGGAGAAGGAAGGGGAAAGGAGGCTGCTTAGAATCGGGTAGAGCGAACTAGCACGAGACCCCGGGATGTGAATAGAAGAAGAGAAAACAGGCGAAAGCACACTAGAGACCCTTAGAAAGATGATGGAAGAGAAGGAAAAAGCCTCGTGGCAGACCCCCGTCTTCCTAGTCTTCAACCCTTGTGTCTCTCGTCACGCGCCCCTTTCCTTTTCGGGTTGACTGACTCACTTTTACCCGATCGTGTGACTGTTTATAAGAACTTTAAGAAAGAAACCGAGAAAGGCTATGCTTGTTTTTGTTTGTCCTATCTAGTGCATACGGTTTTTGGTGCACTATAGATTGAAAATTTTTGAAATTTTGTTTACCCAAATCATTCAGGCTAAATTTCTTGAACGTTCTTAAACCAAAAAAAGCAAAAGTTTTTAATATATCTAGACATTAACAATCAAATCTATCTAGGCACTAACTAATCTATCTGCTAATCTATGTCGCTATAAATGTAAAAAGTGAGGCTACAACGATAAGTCTACGCGTTGTCGATTATATGGTTGTCGTTGCTAATTATCTTCTTTTATTTTAAGGTCAAATTGAGCCTAATTCAATCTAGTAGTTCATGCCAACCTTTCCTTTAACTATCCACATAGATTTCCGGTGAGAGATCTACAAATAACTATTGTAGTGCTCTCATCTCTCTCTTTTTCCCCTTTTCTCTTCAATTCACCATTTAACGTCACGTGTGCACGGCGCGCCTAATGTGCCGACACACACCGATAGGAAGAAAGAATGGGGGGAGATGAAAAGGAGAGAACAAAGAGAACAAGAAAAGGGCAGACAGAGTGAAAGGGGGTGGATGGGGAAGAGGGTGAGCGGTAGAGGGGGTGGGGGGAGCGGATGGCCGTACAATTAGGATCCGGTCTCCCCAATGGGTTGTTCTCCCCGTATCTCACATCCCGCTTTCCCCTCAATTCATCCATCTTTGGAATGCGTCTCTTTTCAGCTCAGTCAATCGAGCATCTCAATCGTTGCGAATATAAATTTACCCAAATGAATTGCTCCTTAAGATCGTCGTCTCCTTAAATGTACTCGCTGTATCGTCGAGAGTTTATTGGTGCCTCATAAAACGCAGCTGATTTAGTGCCTCGTTTTTGACGGTTGAAGGAGAAGAAATTGAGAATTTCCCATGTATCCCATAGTTAGAGAAACCAGTTCCACCCATGAGCGCAAAAGAATGAAAATGATGGAAGGATGCGTATGACCTTCAAATTTCCTTTCAATTTTGCTCGTGTTTTTTTGTGAGTGTCATCTCTGTGCAGTGTTCCGATCACCCGATCCTCATTAATAATGGAAGAATAGTAAAAAGTGAGAAAATTATTGGTTTTATAGAAAGAGATGCCTTTAAACCCTAGCTGTTTGGTGCGCAATTATTTCAAAAAGCTTGGAGTTGAAAAACGGAAGTAATTTGAGAGTTTTTAGGCTTTGACTAGGCTAGATGCTTACTGGAGTCGGTCTTTGTTCAGTAAGTAAAGAGGGAAAACTTTGGAGCTAAACGCTTGTCGCTAAATTTCACTAATTTGCTTCTTGATCTTCTACGAAACTTTTTGACCATAGGTACACATAACATAAAGACGTAAAGCGCCGAAATCACGAGGCTGTCGAGGGTTGAAGATACGGGGATATCGAGGGTGTAGACTAGCCATTCACAAAGAATAGAAAGATAGGTGAGGGGACAGAGGGACAGCCAGCCACTCTGCGTCTCTTCCCCTCCACCGCTCCTCTTCTGCCCTTGCTATTTCTACCCTTTTCCCCTCTCTTCTCCATTTACCCCCATACACCCCAAAAGAGTGATCGATGCTCTGGACGCTCATTCCCTCCGCCGCTTAAATCATGGCCCAATAGCTTTGTTTAAAAATTCTAGGTTTTCAAAATCTTTAGTCACCGTGTGATACTAAAAATATATAAATTAAACCAACCAATTAGTGTTATATGTCTATGGCAAATCTATTCAACAGCAAATAAAACAGCAAATCTATTATGAAAAGCAATTTTGTGTGACTAATCTCTCTCTTTCACAATAGAAAACATTTGGAAACCACGAAATTTCCCAATGAATGGGTGTTCATTTGGAGACCTAGAGTCGGGTAAAAAGATCCAAAATTGAAAGTCTTTTTGATGGAAGTGAACATAGCCTTGACCACTCATCAACAAATCGACTCTCATTCAGTCATAGATCAAAAAGAACTCTTCTTTTGGGATCTTCACTCCTTTTCTTTGCCCCATATCATTCCAGTGTTTTGAGGGAGGGAAAGATACCGCTATCAATTGAGAATCTCAAATACAAACCGCTAACAAACAAACAAAACTCGTTCGCTTTTTGTGAAGAAATCCATGAATAGAGAGAAAACATCAATTCATCAGTTTATGTTTTTGGAAATATACCTATATCGTAACTTTTAGATGAACTTAAAGCTACCATATCCAGCTGAAAGTTATCGTATCCATGACTTCATCCATTACCCCACTGAAACTATCTAGCAAGATCATTTATTCAACCACAATAGTTTACTCTGTATCGGTGCAAAATCTGCCTAAAAACATCGATGAATTCAAATATTTTGTTTTCCCAGCAACAGCCACAAAAAGATGTCTGCCTATTGAGAGTGTGTGGTGGTTGGAAGAGGGGCAGGGAGGGGTTGAGGCTATCGATTCCTTTCTCCCTTCCCATTTCCTCGGCCATCTCCATCTCCCACCGCAAACCCCCTCAAAATTTAAAGACCCTGGACAAGGTGACTTCAATCAGGGGTCTCGATAATGGTGAACATTCAAGAATTAAGTCAATTTAACGAAAAAAGAAAGCTCGTCGAGTAACCCGTAGATTTCAGGTCAACCCGATCCTACTCTTCTCGAAAATCTTCAGTCAAACGATTTATGGAGAAAGCGAGAAGCCGTTCAAACAATTTCGAATTTGATTCTGATATCTGATGAGGGAGCCAATCTGAATGTCTCATTTCGGGATATCGTTGCTGCAATTAAGGACTTGCTTCAAAATGAAGATTTTAATACGGTAAGTACTTCGATTCTGAAAACTTTTTCAAGATAGCCTTTTAACTACTTATTCACAGTCCCAAGCTATGTCAAAATCAAGAAAGCAAAAGGTTCAAGTGAATTCGATCGCTTACTTTTCTCGATTTCAAAACTGTGCCTCTACTTTTCGCATTTTTTTTGTTAAAAACGTTCGAGAGCCGAGTAAGCACACGTAGAAAAGGTTCTATTTGCATTCCGGTGGCCAGCAATAAGAGTCCCTCTCTCACTCTGGCTCCCATCTTTTTTTTGTCGACGAACACACATCAATATGCATTGCGGCGCCACAAAAGAGCAATCATCCAGCCAAGGAAAAACGATATCGAAACAAGAAAAGGGGCTTTCTCGTTTTGGTCTCAAAATGGCAATTTGAAATGGAAATTGAACCAAATATTTGTGGAAAAACTGGAAATTCTTTTGAAGAAGTTAGGTTAAAACACCGCTTGAAAACAACACTCATCCAGATTAAAAATGCATTTCTTTTACTCGAGTTTTAAGCAACCTTTGCAAGCAAGCAAGCAAGCAACCTATCTATGAACTAACTTGTAGAAAAGCGATGGTGTTACTTGTCTACAAAATCTGGTCGATGTGTTCTCGAGATCACACAGCGTTGCAGCTGATGCAATTCCACTCTTAATTGCATTGGTAAGTACATTGAGCAGTTGCAGATTAAAAAAAAACTATAGATGAGTGATGTGCGCGAGGAATACGGAGTCGATATCCATGAGACAGCCCTCAAACCCCTACTCATATTGAGTCGAAAATATGGCCGCAACATCTTACAAGCGGTTTGAAAAACTACGATACCTCAAAGCAACAACTATTTAGGGGGGTTTATCGGGTGTACTTCGTCATTTGTATTTCTTCAATCAACACGCACAAAGAAGTGCTATTGAAGTGGTCGCAAATGCAGCCAGTTATGTGACAATTGCACACATTGAACAAGTTGGAGAGGCGTTGAAAGAAATTACCGATAACATGAACAGTAAGTTCACAAAAACTGTAGTTGCATAGAAATAAATTTCAGACGCTGATAGCAAAATGGGAGATGCCGCTTGTGCAGCTTTTTCGAGAATAGTCTGCAATCTGTATGAAGAAGAGACATTTGTCAATGATGTACTCAATGAAAAGTTAGTCAACAAGATGAAAAGGGTAATAGGATGCGAATTCTAGATATGATCTGGCTTGCAAGATTGTACAAGTACTTCGCGATCTGAGCACAAAATTCTCAGCGACAACAGAACTGTTAAAAGCTCTTCGGCTTCTCATGGCTTGCAGTAGTGATTTTTCAGCAAAACTACATCATGTTGGAATTACATCAACAATTGCGTAAGTTGATGGTATCAAGTGGTTACTATCAAGTGGTTTTAGTTCCTTATTGAGTCCTCTCAGCTCAAAACGTTCAATCAACAGTTTCATCGATCTCCGAGAATTGATCTTCATGTGCGGGTAAATGACTGAAAATTTTGGAAAGGTTCAAAATTACAAATTTAGCGAACTAGCCCCAGCACTACCTGACAGTAACATTTTTTCCATCGACCGACTCATCATTTCAAAAAGTAAGTACCTATACAACTTTAAACTTTATTAAATTCAAAAAGCTTTAACAAATAAGTATTAAACAACAATGCAAAAGGAAAAATTATCCAAAGATATAAATGAAACTTGCATCAATAATTGTGATCGTTGTGTTTTCTTATTTAATAATCCAGCTGTGAAACCGCAGAATAATAGTTGTGCACCATTGCCTAAAAATTGATTTTTTTGGAACAATGGAGTTGAAATGAGACAGATTAAATACTTTAAGTTACTCCCCCAATGTCAATTTTCTCAGCAATAAAAAAAAATTAACAACTTACAGCCCTTTAAATGTAATAGAATAACTGAAAGCAAAACTACCTGCTGCGAAGACTCCATTTCGTAAAAACCATTTGAATAGTTGGGAGCATAGGTGAGACCATCAACAGTCTAATTAAAACACTTCAGCTATATAATTTAGAAAAACCATTTACCATAATGGCTTCAACTGGTGCTTGTGATGACAAAAAGCTAGGTGAATGCATTTCAGCAACTGGAGCGATTGAATATGGCACCTCTTTCGTAAAATAGATGGGCTAAAGCATAGCAATTAAAACTAACTTGATTATAAAAAAGCACCTCTGCGCGTGATGACGTTGCCTTTTCCGTTGATAATTTGATTCGCTTATGTGACTCATATTCTTGTAACTCCTGTAACTGACCCATTTGATTAAAACATAATGCATCGCACCTGATGATAGCGTTCTTTGCTCCTTTTTGCCAATTCTTCATAAGGTTGACGCTCGGTCGCGTCCATCATCCTCCACATTTCCGCCAGCTCTTTTAAAGCTAAAATAAGAAGATATGAATTAAGAGTAAACATCTAAAAATATTACTTTGCTTGTGTTTCGATGGATCAGGTTGTACTTCAGCACGCTGCTTTAAAGTGAACCAAACGTATCCAGATAGAGGCTTCTTCGGAGCATTCGGATCTTTCCATTTCTGTTTGGTGCCTTTGTTTTGCATAAATGCAGCCATCTACATAAAAGTAAAGTAAAGTAAAGCTACTAATAAGCAAGTTTAACCTCTGCACTATATCGCTCACCATCTTTTGCCGCCAAATCATGGAAACGTTCCTTTTCATCGGTATTCATTCCCTAGAAATCAAAATAAATTTAAACAATATTTAAGTGAGTAACCAGTAAAAAGTGTTTAAGAAAAGCTGATTCCTAACAAAACTTCAAAGCAGTTCTATCTAGCACGGCTTAAATTTTAAACGAGAAGATTTAAAATCACCGTGCCTTTTAATATTTTCATTGCTTGTAATGCGCCTGAGTGATCACAAGTGTTCAAAACAAAATGCCAAGTCATAATAAAGAAAAAAAGCGAATACCTTCCAAGCTTCTGAGCATTTGACTACTAACTCCTTGTTCGTCACTTTTTCCATAGGGTATCGTCGTTGATGTTCTTTCTGACACATCTCTATGAAGCAGAAAAATGGCGATTTCCGGCCAGCGACAATCGGACTTATGTGTATTCCTGGCCCCGGACGTTTCATGTTATCCCCTGAATAAGAAAAATTATGATATTTAGCAAAACAGACAAAACGCCACAAAAGAAAAAAAAAATGAAAAGTTTTACCGGTTTTGATTGATAAATAGTCTCAAAAGCGCACCTTCTAGAAAGTGAATAAATAAAGGTACGGTAGATTTTTCGGCTCACTTTTCCTTAGTGGAAACTTGGGGAAATGCGTTTTAGGTGTTTTAAAAAACAAAAACGTATCTACTTTCAGATGTATCTCCTTCTCGTTCACACCCTTCATCATGGCCATCAACTTCATCAGAAGAAAGACCAGTCGAAGGAATCTGTTTAGCTTTGACTGCTCCCCTTGTTGCCATTACGGCTAGTGTGGTAAGTTTTCGTGCAGATTGAGAAATTGATTCTAGAAGAATTTCTAGGGGTTTATTAAAAATTATGTATTTGTTAACTGGTAACTAGGTATGTATGTGATATTATAGACCGATCCGATGGTTCATTTTGATGTGATTCGAGTGTTAGTCCGACTACTTCTTCCATGTCGTCGTGTCGACCTCTTTGAAGTGTTGGGAGAATCCGAATATGCAAATGCAGTTATGCTTGTCTCTCTTCTAAAAGAAGCCCTCGTCTACAATGCACAGAAATTGTATATCTCTGTCGCAGCAGTGCAACTAATCAGAACGATGCTCGAGGTTTGCAAAATTTAATCAAAAAGTCATTTCAAAAACCTTTCAGCTAAAGACTTTTATTTTAACAAACTTCATTTTAGAAGGACTCATCAAAAATAACAGCTGCTCATCTCAGCGATCATGGAATCTGGGAAGCCGTAGAGAAACTTGGAGCTACAGTAGGAAACAATAAGGTATGCAAGAAGTCGAACTTTAAATATTTAGAGTGAAAATTTTAGGGTGGACCAATCACTCGAAATCGAAGCAAAGCTCTCGCTGATGTGATCACTTCCAGTCGTAAACGAACCAGTCCTGCTAGGTTAGTACTAAATCACTGAATAGATTAAAGTAAACCTTGTTTGCGTAGCTAGAACTTTCCCTAAGCTTCTAAAAATTTCTTTTAAAATCTCATTGAGCCTTCGACTCTCCTTTTGTTGTGCTCGTTGTTTTGTATTAGTTCAGTAGCTCCGAATAGCGTAGAGACAAAATGATGTCAATCATTCAATGAAAATTACAACCTTATTTCTTTTTCTTATCCAATTACTAGTTAATGAGTAGTGTTATCATTTTCTTATTATTCTCGACATCGAATAAGTGCATGCAATCGTCGTATTTGCAGCGGTGAAGTGTCACAAAGTGGAGTCTCCTCAATGATGTCTTCATCTTCTCAATCAGTGCCATTTCGGGATGACGGGTAGATTCTTGACTAGGGTTTCTAACCGTTTAAAAAAGTTACTTATTACTAAATCACGCAGAAACCCTATGCCAACCATTACAGCTTCGAACCCATGCATTCCATGATAACCCCATTCTGCACAGATTATTTTTTTTGTGGTTTACTGTGGTCGCATGTAGATTCAAGTTTTTGACTGTAGAGTAACGCAAAGAATTTAGTAGCCCATCGGTGAAACGCGAAAGAGACAATGGTGGAAGCTCACGAAGTACATCGAATATCTCCGGAGGATCAAAGAAAAGTCATCTACACTCGCTACTTTCATTCAGAAGTCACTCATCAGATGCGACCAGCTCTACTCAATCGAGCAGACCAAACTCTCCTTATGATTCACAAGTACATTGTCAATTCTAATTTTAGACAAAGGCCTTAACAAAGCGACATAAACAACAACAATGCAACAACAAATGCAACAATTGCAGATTCGTCAACTGAGCGAAATTGATCAATCTGAAGTGTGTGCCTGGCTGGCAGCTGAATGTTCTCATGCTCTTCGTCTTCGACCTGAGCCTGGACCAATCGAATTCCATCTAGAGAAGTTACTCCATGAGCTCCATCATAAGCAAGATTCATCAGCAATACCTCTGTCTTTCTTCAAGGAGCTCATTAAATTGACAGTAAGCTAGACAAAAATATCATATCCGAAACTTTTTTTAGTACAACTGTTTGGCTCCGAATCAAATTTTGAAGAGCGGATTGCAAGAAGAAGTGCTCAAATGGATGTCTGATGGCTCTTCAACTCGAGTTGTTCCATCATTGATTGCAGCTTTACAAAAAGTACATAAAGCTTTTTAGACAAGTTATTTAACAATGTTTAGGTTGACTCGGCTGATCGATCTCGTCATCTCGGTTCATTGATCAAAGCAGTAGCTGGAGCCGTGGATCAATGTGAGGCCTTTCCTGTGAGCATCTTTGACCTCTCTGCCCATGCCGCTCCTCATCTATTCCATGGAGCACACGCACTTCGATATTTCAGAAATCATGTTGTTACGGTATAAATAACTCGATTCTATTATTGGCTCATTTACAAAATCTAGATTACCGTCTCTCGTCATCCAAAATGTGATTCAAACGAGCCATCACAAAGCAACACCTTTAAGACAGACCCACTTGTCACAATGAAGTACATCTATACAGTTGTTCGAAATCGATTGCCAATCCGACAATCAAGCAGCTCAGAAGATGATGAAGATTCACAAGTGAGTTGAAGATTGAAGTTGAAGACGATGAAGCTCTTTCCACGAAATAGATGTATTGATGATATTTAATCAAAAGCCTTTCAGGGAGGTCCATTCCAATCTCCCGACATCGAACTTTTGGCTCAAAATGGACAAGTGATCGGTGAACAACAAGTGCTTTTGGAAGTGCTTCTGGCCAATTCTACCGACAATATTGGACATGTTTTAGCAATTTCTCATCATTTCCATTATCGGTACGAGAAAATTGGCAAAACCTTTATACATTACTTTTTCAGACCTAAAAAGGCCGGAAATCCCGTTCGTCATATTGAACCAAAAATCAGCCTGGAGCAAAGGATTCGGGAAGAATTGGGAAGATCTACCGGAGCCGAGTTCACTTCCCTGCCAACAACTAGTGGAGTGGCCCTTGTTGCTGGTTTGTAGTGGAGAATGGGTAAAAGAATTATTCTTTTTTTAGAATTCTTGGAAGGCAAACGGGTTTTCGAGAAGAGCATGATGAAGAAAATTGATCGAATCGCCCAATCAGCAAGTGGACACTCAACGGGAGAGCCCTCTCCTTTAGCTGCCCATTTTTCCACCTCGCTCGGCATGCTCACTCTATTGCATTACGTTGATCAGTGAGTTTATTCATCAGATTTTCAAATTTCTAAGCATTATCTCATCAACATATCCAAAATTCAGCTATTGGGCAGTGGATGGTTGTCAGGGATATTGGCCTGAGCATCCTTTCTCGATTGCACCCAAAGATGACTATGTCTGCAAAAAATTGGATGCCAAAGTGAATAGACAATTGGCAGATTTTCTTTCAGTGGCCGCACAAGGAATTCCATCATGGATTGAGTGGATTGCAAAGAATGCGTGAGTTCTTGATAACCTTAGAAACAAAGAAAATATCAAAGTTATAATATGATAGAAAAGATTTAGACCCTTTGCCCTTTCATTTGAGACGCGTCTTTCATTCTTCCGCTTAACATCATTTGGAAGAGAAAGAGCTTTGACACATTGGCTACAACAGAGAGATTTTGCCATCGAGGATACAACAATCATGAGAGTGAAAAAAGTGACGATTGAAGTGGCTCGTGAAAACTTCCTGCACTTTGCTTATGCCGCACTACACGATACTCCTACTGGGTAAGTTCATTCACCTTTTAGCCAAACAGATAAAATTAAGACGTAAACTAAAGATAAAATGTAGGTCCACGATGGAAGTCAAATTCCGTGGGGAAGCTGGCACTGGACATGGGCCAACCCAAGAATTCTATTCAATTCTGAGTCGAGAATTCAAGAAAGCCAGCCTCAATCTGTGGTACCCAAGTCGAATTGAAGTCGATCCAGAAACAAACGAGAAATTGATTGCCTCTGATTACGGACTCTTCCCTCTACCATGCTCAAAAGAACAACGCATGGAAAAGATCAGATTATATGAATTGTTGGGAAGAGCTCTTGGACAAGCACTACAAGATGGGAAAAGATTGGATATTGTATTGAGCCCGATTGTCATGAAATATCTCATCGGCAAAGCACATCTCATTGGACCTTGTGGTTAGTTTTCATTGAAATTAAAAAACTGAATACCATTAAATTCTAGATCTTGCCACCGTGGATCCATTGGTTTACAAATCAATGAAGCAAATTGAAGAATGTGCGAATGAAGAACTTGAACTGATCATGGCCGAGTATTCAATTCCCAATGTGAACATTGATATCTCCACAAACTCTTCTGAACAAATTGTCAATGCAAAGAACCGATGGACTTATTTAGAGGTTATAGAAAAAAAAGAGATGAAAATAAATAGAAATTTTTAGCGTTTCCGTGAGTTGATGTTGTTGACGATTCGAGAACCATTGGAAGCGATTGTTCATGGATTGAACTCAGCCTTTCCACGAGAACATCTTGAATGTTTCCTTCCTGATGAATTTGAAGCACTCTTTTGTGGTGCTGGTGGAGCTGATGCTGAATATTGGATATCTGAAAGAATCACCGAAGCTCTCAAATTTGATCTGGGGTAGGTATTCAGATTCACCATAATGGGGCTTAAAAAACCCATCAAAAAGAAATCAGTTTACAATTAGATTATTTACCGAATTCGATAAATAATGACTTGTTTATATTACAGATATTCGCGCGAGAGTGCCACAGTGAAAAACTTTGTGCAAATGCTCACCGAATTTCCTCCAGCAAAACGGCAACGATTCTTACAATTTGTGACAGGATCTCCGAGATTACCCCATGGAGGATTTGCTGCATTGAGCCCTCCATTAACGGTGAGTAAAACTTCCATAGTTGGAACTAAGGCAGATCCAAAACTTGTGCGTCGGGACTCGAACCCGCAAGCTCTCGCTTACTGGGCAACCATTATACCACAATGCACTTGATATCCCTTACTACAAAGGGAGTTAACCCTATATCATATTCATCAAAACTGTAAAACCTTTAAAACCCAATTTCAGGTGGTTTGCAAGAGTACGAGCTCTGGAAGTCCAGATGGAGAATTTCCATCGGCTGTCACCTGCAAGAATTATGTGAAACTGCCAAATTATAGCAGTTATGAGGTGAGTGATTGGGAATATTGCATTAATGTTAGGCATAACTTACTAAGAATTGTACTCACTAAGAATTGTACTCACTAAGAATTGTACTCACTAAGAATTTTTGTACTAAAAGTTAATTTGAAGTGTATCCGAAGGCAAGCTTTAACGCCAAAACATTCTCTTTAGGTGATGGTGCGTCAATTCGAGATTGCACTGACGAATGCTCTCCATTTCGATTACAACTAATCTCTTTCCTTTTCACCTCTTTTATCATCTTCAAATCCCCTCCGATCCCATCCAGGTTTCTCGTTTTTCTTCACGGGTTTTCACTCCTGGGTCTTCCTTTTTTTCTACTTGTTGGATTCCCTGTATATAGTGTAAATTCACATTCGCACAACACTTCATAGGAGTTATGCCTTTCTTTTTTGAAATATCTTTATATTGATCACTTATTTGATAGGCTTTAATCCCGAAGAATCATTGTAGCATTTTGCCAATTCTTTCCCATTCAAAGTGCCGTTATTTCTCTTTTTTTAGTGTGAAAAGTGCTTAACTGTGAAGGTTAGATGAATATTTTGAAATTCTTGATGGCTAGTCGAGATCATTTTTATCAATATTTCTATATTTTCGTCTTTCCGCTTTTTGTTTTCTTTGATCAGAATCGACTCGAGACGCTAGTTTTCCCCTTGAAAATCTTTTTTTGATTCTGGGTATCATTTTGTGAAATTTCTCCTTCAAGTCTTTTTTCGTGATTGATTTTGCTTTTGTCGATTGCTATGGATTAATAAAGATTACAATAAAATGAAAACGAATAGCGAATAGCGAATATAAAGTTTATCTCAATAAGAATGATGAATGAGATCAAACGGAAAAAAATATAAATACTCGTAAAGATTAAAGTAGAACAAAAAAAATGCAAGAAAATTGAAACAGCCAAAATTTAATGTTTACTAGATGGAGATCGAAGAATTTTAGAAAGACCTTCAATGTATTGTTGAGCCATTAAAAGAGTTTCAAATTTCGAGAGACGTCGGCCAGAATCCATTTCGGGGAGAACTGTGCGTAGCTGGAAATTTGTACTTTTGATATGGTTTCAGTTTTTCAAGTAATTTGACACATTTCAGTGATTACACTAGTGAAATTTGACGCTAAATATTTGTAAATTATTGAACTCAAGTACATATTAAGTTGAGGAAAAATAATGTGCGTATTTTGGGTGTAACAATTTCTTGAATTCTACAATAGCAACTATCAATAAGTAAGGTATTCTCCATTTTTATCAATGACTTTTTCTCATCTTCGACGCAAGTGCCTGATTCTATTTGTGAAAAATTGGCGATTTTTGGATCCAAAATAGTTGTCAACCGCTTTTTTTGACTTCATGACCATCGAACTTTACTCCCATGATAAACTGTTTCAGGGACTGAAACAAAAAGTAATCTGGCTAAGGCTAAGGCAGGAGAGTAAGACCAAGAAGCAACTTTCAGCCCAGCTCGTCAATTTTTTGTGATCTTTGTCAATTCGTCAATTTTGTCCATTTTTGCAGTGTGGGGTTTTGCGTTGTCGTGCAAAAATCGAATCTTTGATGGATTGAGCCCCAATCTCTTTAAAGCATCGTTAACTCTTGTCAATTGTTTTGAATAGAGATCAGCATCAATGTTTTCTTCTGGGTTAGCTAACTCATAGTGCACCAAACTTTTCTTTCCATTTCCACCAGCAACAGAGCATTATTTTCTTACCGTGAATATTAGGCTTGGAAGTGGTTTGAAGGGTTTGCCCGGTAGATAATCATTGGTTTTTCCTTTTGACACTCTCGTAATTGACCCAAGTTTCATCAGATGTCAAAATCTAATCCCAAAAATCACCAGCTTTGCATTTATGGAGCAAAAAAGAACTGGCGTTGACACGAGTTGTTTTGTTGTCTTGAGTCAGTTTGTTTTTCAACTCATTTTCCACAGCGAATTTTTTTCCCGAGTTGGTGCAAATGATTGTCGATTGTTTTCTGATCGAGATCAAATATTTTTTCAAGCTCACGAGTCATGAGTGTTGGGCTGTAGTCAATTTCAATTCACCAATGCGAAATTCAAAACGTGCATTATTTTTGCCTCAACCTAATAGATGTCCATAATTTCCTTCAGATGATGGAAATTGTTATTCTTATTTGAATATTTTGAATGAATTCCATTTCGTTTCCCCAACCAACCTTATCGTAAGCCAAATTCAACATAAGCATTCGTCTTCTTTCTCTTTCATTGGCCGCACTTCTCCTTGATCGCAACAGCTGTGGTGATGGGGTCTTGTATCGTCTTGTTCTCATCTTAAATTCAAAATACGAAACTGTTTGTGAGGTCAAAAATGTGTAAATTAAATATACACTAATACTTTTATCAAAATCAATGTGTAAACTAACTTTTCTTGTTTCAGGCTTCATATCTTCTGATTGATTTGATGCAGTTGAATGGGAAAGATCACATGATGAATAACTAAATAGGTATTCTTTTTTATTGAACACTTGTCTGAGTTTGTTATTATGCACAATTTAGCGCACACCTACACAGTTAATTATCAACAAATTTCATAACTTACACAGAACTAATAGGAAAAGTTGGGCTGGTGATTGGAGTGGGAAAGAGAGGACTCGTCTGACTGGTCGAAAAGACAAGGCTTGATTGAAATGAAGAAATTGATGGTGATGGGAAATGGAGAAGATGGCTTGTGCATGGATCCCATGTTGCTGACATCTGAAAATACTCTTTCATAGCTAATTTCAAATAAAAAGAGTTGAAGGAGAGAAGGAGAATGAATCAATGAAACATTCAATTTGAAAATAATCGGAACAAAACACGTTTTAAAATTGACAAGAGTCGTTTACAAACATTGAGGTTTGGTTTGCGGTACGTCTGAGAAATGGTTAATGAGAGGAGAACATGCAAAAGAAGGGATAAAGAGGGTGAAAGGGGGAAAGGGGAGGAGTGACCTCTACAGTAACTTCCACCCCTTTTCGACCGCCCTTCTGTTTTTTTTATCCAAAACCATTTCAGCTAGATATTTAAATAAACATAAGAACTGATCTAAATAAATTCGGATCTGATCTGACATAGTAGATAAAGTAAAGACTAAAAATGAAGTTAGAGTAGCCTCACAGAAACGAAACCTCTTTCCAGTTGCATTAAAGTGCTTAACTCGTAGACGAATCCAGTATGACTTCAAAATACATACTGAAAATGTGCAAATATTCAAGCTGCATGACTGCATGACATAAATGAAATGATTTAGAAAGGTTTACAGTACTTACAGTACAGAAAGGTTTAAAGTACTTACAGTACAGAAAGGTTTACAGCACATACAGTACAGAAAGGTTTACAGTACTTACAGTACAGAAAGCTTTACAGTACTTACAGTACAGAAAGCTTTACAGTACTTAGAGTACAGAAAGGTTTACAGTACATACAGTACAGAAAGGTTTACAGTACAGTAAATCCTAAAACAAAGCTCTGTCAATTCTTCTTCTGAAATTTACATCTAAAAATCAAGATATTATTGGCTTCTTTAATGATAATTATCGCACAACACTTGCGACTGATGATATGATTAATGAGGTGAATGGTTATGCTCTCGGCAAGGTGGGACTCCATTTAGGCATCTCGACAAAATTCACGAAGAGACACAAAATCTAATCTTGATTAGAAACACTAAACATCAGCAACAACAACATATAAATGATGGACACCCACTGAGAATGAATAGAGAAAAAAAGCAAGAAGAGAAATCAACCATACTCTTCTCCCACTCTCTCCCAATCATTTCCCAAACGATCATTGTGAGAGTTGCGTAACTTACACCCGTCACCGAGAAATTATCCAGCTTACATCATCGGGTTCATTTCTTCGAAATTATCTCATCAAACAAAAAAAAGAAAGAAGAGAAATCATTTCTTCGAAATTATTTCATTTTGATGGGCTTGTCATCATTTATTTTTGATTCAACAGTTAGCAATCTGATTGCTAGACAAGCGTGTTAAAATCGAGGATTGTTTATTGACAAGCATGTACTCAAGGTATTGAAACAAAAAAAAACATTGATCCAAGCGTACAAAGCATGAGTAAATTAGCTATAAGCCATTTAAGTAAATGACTGAATAGCCTCTCTCCTAAATGAACTCACTATCAGAGCTCATAAATCTGTGAACGGATACGTGGAAGAGGTAGTTGTGAGAGTTGTGAGGTGAGGCGCGTGCCTCTTTTTTCCCCCAAAGCCCTAACCGATCTTTTTTCTCGTAAAGATCGAGATAGTCTCCTCTCCATTTTCCCCTTTAAGTACACCTCCCCGAAAACTTAGCCACAGCTGTGTTCCCCTCATTGAAATCTCTTCGCTCCTTTACCCCTAAAAGAACCGACATGACAAAAACTAATGGCACCTTGCTGAAAATTGCGTTTTTTTTACACGATGCTACGGTAATGGTTGCGAGTTCAAGTCCAAGAAAAAAAGTTTAATAGGTATTGTTTTTGAGCTTTTTCTAGACCTACAGCAAAATGAAAGAAGGATATATGACAGAAATCGGAAAAGTTTTTATCTTTAGTTTCAAGATTTGGTTAGGAAAAGTATTCGGGATCCACCAATCAACTCAGAACACTAAAACAATATAAAATAAGCAATAATGAAATGAATAAGCTCAATTACAACCTAGAAAGCACTCTTGATATCTTGATAATACAGGCAACAAGCAGGTACGGAATTGACTCTTGATAATTCCTAATAACAGGCAGGTACGGAATTCAATCAAAATTGTGATGAATTCGTTTATGTTTTTGTTCACCCCATGGCATTGTAGATGGTTATCAGAAATTTGGATGAAAATATTGGTGAATGAGCGAAGAAGTGCCAGGAGCACTCCATCTCATCCCATCTCTTTCCTCCTTCTGTGCACATATGGTTGCAGCAAGGCCATCTCTTCTTTTCCATGGCTGACTCGATCTCATCAATGAATGAGAAAATACACCTCCACAAACCGTGTCCATCTCTCAATTTTTTTCCTTTTCTTTCCACCTTTTGAATGGTTTCTCTTCATTTTCTTTTTCCACCAATTGACAGCTATTTATAACCATTTCTCATAGTGAGACTCTCATGGCAACCTCGCGACTGTAGACATTATTTTTGAATCTAAAAAGAATTGGAACCAGTATGCTTATGAAAATTCAAAGTTAAGTTAAAGTAAATCTAAAGACAATTGAGATTAATCGATTATGATTTAGAAGCCTGTATGTAGTAAGCTCGATTTACTGTATGTGGTAAGCTACATACAGTAAATGTTTAGCTTGTTCAACTTTAAAATTTTCAAAGATTCAAAGGATCTATATTTCAAGCTAATCACGAGTCTAGTCACACGAATTCGAACAGGAAATAACAGCTCCCTTTGACTGATCACCGCTTTCTGCCAACGGCTGCCAATTTAGAGATTAACTCCCACCTTTCCCATTGCATAATCCCAAACACAGCCAATCCCTTATGGAATCTTTTTGAGCGGAAAACAGGTGGCGGTTGAAGATAAAGGTGAACAATTAGCGCATTTACCAGTGACCTGTGAACAGAGAAATATTTTGATAGCATGTAACAGGTTAAATCAAAAAGAATAGAAAGATCAGAGCTTGTGAAAAGAAACAGAGTTTTAGGGAACTTCAAGAGCAAATCGATCAAATAAATTGAATTGAGATTAAAGGGATACAATTAAACCTACTTTCTTCCTGTCTTCCTGTCTATACCGTAAATTGTCTTCAATAAAATCTTGTCTTGATTCGTGATTCACATCGGTGAGGTGACTCTCGGTCAAAGAAGGTCATAAGTCAATGAAAGCTATAAGACATCAGGCAGCACCTGTCATTTTTCTGCTTTCTTCTTTTTGATAGCTTTCATCAAATCGGTTCTTTTTGGGGTGCAAATGGTGAATGAATGTTGCGTCACGGTCTCTGTCTCTTTTCCCATTCAGTAATAATTGCCAGCGCTCCCGACTCCTTTGAAATGCCGATTTGACTGTACGAGTGGAAAATGGCTTAATTGATGATCTTGTTTCTTAGAATTGCGAGCAGGAAATGCAAATTTGTTCCATACAATGGTTCCATACAATGTATAGAGTTTAAAAATGTAAATGATCTTTTATTTATACAAACCCTTGATATCAAGATAGTACAAGTATATCAAGATACAAGATAGTACAAGATGAAGTTAAGAACTGTACAATGTTCAAGGATTATTCATCGAAAGCTCCGAATTCTCCCATAAACTTTTTAGATAGCCGGCTGAGTTTCTTGAGTATTGATAGTGAAAAACGACAAAACGATCAAAGGTGTGCTGATCGAATCCGTCAAAGTGAATGAGATCAATTCCAAGACATGATGACATTACTCCAACATGAATATCATCTAAAAAATGTTCTGAAAAGCTTTTGGATAAAACAAACCGAGATGAATCCATGGAAAACGACAAATATTATTGAGAAGAGCTCTTGCTGCACCACGAGAAATCACAAATGACGATCCCTACAATAAAGAAGTTCAATGATAGATCAAAGAAAGTTTCGTCAATAGCCTAGGTTCAAAAAAAGTAATAAAAATGTAGAGCTTTAAGCTTATAAGCTCAGATACATTTTTATTGCTTTTTGTGAATCTAGGCTATTGACAAATGCTTTTTCAAATCTATATACAAGGCGCGCCATAATTGTCGCAATAAGGTATCACGTGCGTTCAATGACAATAACTCGTTGATTTAAGCTTCATTTCTGGTTTTTTAGTGTTTTTATTATATTTGGAATATAATTGAAACTTTTTTCATCTAAAATGTGTTGTTTTTTAGAATGGCTGGAAGATCCCCATCGACAATCGATCATCGAATTGCAAAAGCGAGGAGTCTCGGCGCCGGAATTCAGAAGCGTCCTAAAGTCGACGGAAGTCTAATTTTCCGCACGACCCAACGCTACGAAGCTACGGAGACAATTGCTGATGCACCAAGAAGCGGTTGACACCAAACAAAGACAAACATCAAGTGAGGGATCGAATTCGGAAGAAGCCAAACCAGTCGGCAAAGCAAAGCGCAAAGAAGATGGCGATTTCAAGCATATCATTGCTTCGGATCCTCAAAAATAAGCTCAAACTTACTGCTTATAAAAAACAAGACTCGACTTCTTTCGAATGCCGCTAAAAAGAAGCGAAAATTCAGAGCAGATGTTGTTGATGCGCTTCAATGGAATCGACTATCACAATATCTTGTTCACAGATGAAAAGATATTTACCGTTAAAGGCCTTCTTAACAAGCAAAATGATCGAGTATGGGCAAAATCTCAACCGAATGCTACGGTTTCTCGAAGTGCACATCCAGCTTCAAAGCGTGGGAAGAGCTCGATCCAGCCTATTTGGTCGCCACCGTTGACGCCTTCCCGAAACGCCTGCGAGCCTGCTCAAATACTAATCGTGGCCGATTCGAATTTGATAGTTGATTTATAATTGTTAATGTAAAATAAATGTTATTCAGTTAGAAATATGTCTTTTTTTGCTCTTGTCTGTCTTAAAATCGGAACTTTATCTTGTTGCGACAATTATGGCGCACTCTGTATCATTGATAACCTGAACAAATCGTGGATAGCATAGATTTGGATACATATCTCCATGTACATGCCATGTCAACCAAGGCATCCATAAACGAGGATACCCACGGGACACTTTACCCAATAACCACAAATCATCGGGATCTCGACTTGGCAACTGAAATACGTTAAGGCTTTTAGAATATTCAGATAAGCATACCTGTCGAATAGCAGTCACATTGACGATTGTATCATCGTTTAGCACAAGAATTTCTTCAACTTTTGGTAGTTTCTCTAATATCCAGCTGTACATCGATACCATCTGAACCCATTTTTTGAGTGTTGCATTTCTTTCTTACCTTATAAGCTAAACTATGATAACTATCAGTGAAATCAAATTGAATGACATCTTGCTGTTCATCCGATTCTTCGTTGAGTTCAAGACTTTTGCGCTTTCCGACCACAAAAACTACAGGAATTTCTCGAAAATGAGATTTCCACGTCGAACGAATGAAATCTCGATAATCTTTGGAGTTGGGAGCAGTTCTGATAACGACAATCTGGAAAAAATGGGATACGAGATATTACTTTGAAGATTGATGAAAGTTTTTGATCAGGTATAACCTTTTTGGCATTTTCATCGACTTTCGGGAAATGCAAGATTTCAGGTCGAATATTTAGTCGACAATTTGGATCTGCCTTTCTAAATTTTAAATATAAATAAAAAAGAACATTACTAACCTCGGATAATGATATTTTTGAATACATTCATTCACATTTCCAGCTGATGAAATATAACTCAACAAATCTGATTGAGTATAACATAACGCTCGAAAGGGAAGAAGTGATCGTTCAAGATAATTTGCTAACTAAGAACTTTTTGTTTTCAATATTTACTTGATTACAAACCAAAATGTATGGGAAAACCCATGAAAAAATAGCAATGAGAAGCTTTTCTGGGGAAATTTGTGAGACGAGCATTGAACTATTTAAAAGGGAAAATGAGTGACGGAGAAAGGGGATGAAAGAGAAGGAAAGTGGGACAGATCTGAATCTACATCTTTGTTTGGTTTCTGGAATCGATGAATATATAAAATTTAAGGCATTATTTAAATATAGATGCTTATATAAAGCAGGTCTGCTTATATAAAGCAGTTTAATTTTGATCTAACTTGGATCTATTTGGAACACGCAGATCTACTACTTGGTCTAAAATGTCTTCATTTCCATTCATTTCCAGGAAAATGTTTGTCATACTTAGAAGTGACATACAAAGCTCTATAACTTTGTATGTCAAATCAACCTCTACAAGTATTAGCTCTACAGGTTTATAAAGAGATTGGCACTTTATACTGTACTTCTAGTGAACCATTTGTCATGCTATGGGTTTGTTAAAACTTACATTTATTCTCTATTTTCAATTCAGTTGATTTGTTAAGAGAACTCGTGTAATTCAGTTATTTGTTATTTTCAGTTGTTCAGTTATTTGTTGTTATGTTTTGAGCTGATCCAATGCATAATTTAAGTATTAAATTTAGAAAAAGAAAAATTTATTGCAGCAATTAATTTCAAAACGTAAAAAAGGTAAGTGAAAGATCGAAAAATGCGTAAAAACAATTCACAAGATTCTTCTTTAAGTATCCAAAACAAAATGTCGATTAAATAAATCAAAATGAAATACAAATGAGTTTTAGGGATGCATTGAATTTCAAATATGCTTTGTTTTGGATTCAAATACATAAAAATCTCTTCCATGCATCCCAGAAACCTTTTTGATGAGATAAATAAGAAAAAATGAAAAGAAAAAAGAAAAAGTGCAAAGTGTTTAAACAATATTCTTTCTAAAAAATATGAAAATATAATGTAAGACTGGGAAGAATGATGAGAAATGACGGATAGAGAAGAATGAAGAGAAATAATGAGAAAAAGGTTTGATTCTTCATTGCAAGATCTCTCCATTCCACCCGCTATGCAGGTTACCCGTCTTTCTATTCTCAGAGAAGGTAGCTAAAGATTTTCGGTAAAAACATGCAGTTTTTAAAACCTTTCTTTAAGCCAATGCTCTCATTCGAGCAACACTGGGTGGAATGATCTCATCGGGGAACATTTCTTTCAATGCCTCTTCGATGTGATTACAGAAACCACGATACGAGAATTCTCGATCGAAACGGGCACGCTAAAAATTACTGATTTCTGATTGAGTATTGATTCGGATTGTACTGATTCTTCAAATCACAATTTACTGCAATTCCTTTTTAGGATTGGCTTTTCTCTGCGGTTTTCTCTACTTCTAGAGCCATTTTTCTTTTTGATTTACCTGTATCCGATATCCGTCTTCTGTATCCAAAGCTGGCCATTCTTTTCGACACATATGACGTTCCATTGCATCTGCCAGAAATTCTCCACAGGGTTTTGCAATCTAAATGACAGAAATTCTCTACATGTTTTTACAATTGAGTATTTTTGACACTGAAACTGAATACGGATCTTTTTGTTCTTTACCTTATTCCCAGTAACATCTTCAATAACAGTTTCTGCCGGTCCTCCACTATCACAAACGATGACCGGTCTTCGTTGTTCCAAGGCTTCGATTGGAACAATTCCAAAATGTTCATTTGGTGGTGTGTAAAGAGCCGAATCGCATTGCCTAAAATAAATCGATTTTTAACAATCTATTTCAAAACCTGTAGAGCTCGAATTTCTCTTGTTCGGTTGGTGAGGGAACAAATTTGACGATATCCACCACATCCAACTCCTGAAACGCCTTTTTTATCTACTAATTTCAAGCTAATACGCTAGTCATTTTCTGGAGCAAATCGTAGTATATTCGACTCTCGGGAATATGGGGCATCACCGAACCGGCCAATTGAACAATGAATTTGTATCCTCTTCTTTTCAAAATGCCTATATTTGATTGATTTATTTCTGCTTCAAATTCCATCTTTACCTGCAGCTTCCACTATGATATCCAATCGTTTTTCCGGCCAAAAGCGGTTCATCGAAAGGAAAATGTAGAGTTCGTTTTTTGGTCGATCCATTCGACTGACTGCTTCAGCTGCCTTAAATAAAGCATTCCATAAATCTTTACACGTAATTCTAATAGAATTATGTGGTTATTTATTAGGTTGTTTCCGAAAGAATGAGCGACTCGAACACATTGATCACACACCTTGCTAACAATGGCATCAACATCACATGGCGGATAGACAACTTGTACCTTTTGTGGAGATACTCCAGGCATTACACGTTGAAATTGCCCAGCTAAAGTTTTTATTGATATACAGTCACCCCTTTACATCGATAATCCGATACATCGATAATCCTTTATCTACCTGTAAATTGACTATTCACCATAACAACATCTGTTCCTTCAAAGAGGATTTCTTCAGCGATCCCGATTAGTCTCGAGTACCTATAGATTGAAATTTAAAGATTTAAAGATTGAAATGATTGATGATTGATGATTGAAAGCATTTAAAGATTGAATCTTTAGATTGAATATCTAAATCCTAAATCTAAAACATTTAAAAACAAACTCACCAACGGTAGAGGAAAAACCGTGATGGAGTGACCAATTGTTGTGGGAAATGACAATAAAAGAGCACTTTCGTTTGGGGAAATCTCCATTTGATTAAAGGAACACAGCTGAAGTATTTGCAATAGAACTAATAGAATAAAAGAATTTTATGATTTACCTAGCACTGTGATCGATAACAATTAGATCCGGATTGAGATTAGAGAAAGCGAGATACCATCCAAGAGCCACATTTTGTGACCACCAATCACCCGGATGAAGTTTCAATCCAATATCACGAACTTCTGCAAAGGTTTTGATTCAATGAAAAGGGCCAATCAAGAATTTGACTGAATACTTTTTAATATTTTTATGAATATACCAACCAACTCCCTCCCATTTATGTCCTTTCCAGTATTCATCAATCATTGTTGTCAGCCAGATCACTCGATGACCAGCTCCGACAAAATATCTGCAATTGAACATTTCATTATGCTTTATTTTGTTGTACTTTATTTTGTTGTACTTTATTTTGTTGTACTTTCTTTTGTTGTACTTTCTTTTGTTGTACTTTCTTTTGTTGTACTTTCTTTTTATCATTGCCATTCTGCTCCTCTAAAGATTGAAATCTTATTCTTAGAACAAAAATTGTACAAAAGATGAGCTTTTATAAAAGAAAAAAGAAAAAAAACTCCGTTAATGGGGAATGGTTGTGAAAGATCGGAAGCAAAGATTGGATTTGAGAAGCTAAAGAAAAAAGAAGCCATTTTTGGATCTAAATGTGGCACAATGACCAAAGCGTAAAAGAAATTTGGAAGAAAAAAGAAGAAATCTATTACGCTGTCCAGAAAGTTTTTTCGTTTCTTTTCATACTTTCGTTGAAAAATAACAAATTCACCAATTAACCTATGACTTGCTCTAGATAAAATGTGTTTATTGGTGAATTCCCATCTTTTCAAGTCAATTTCGGTTCACTTTCAAGCAAATTCGAGAGTGATAAACGTGTTTTTCGTAAAAATCTATAAAAACCTCTACAAAGAAATTGGCTGAATGAATTTCTCTGAAAATTTGGCTATATACTAAACTTTTTGTGCTTTATCTTTTTTCTATTGACACCAAGGTGGGTTTCTTTAGCTAATTTTTAAATATATCGCAAAACTGACCGAATCATGGCCACAGTGCATCGATCCGATCCACCATTCCATTGTTCCGGATGAATGATCACCACTTGCATACCTATAAATGAATGTTTATGTTTTCAAAGTTGGGAAGTTTTGTGCTATTAAAGTTAACACTCAATAGTAATCAGAAAAAATGAAAATATGATTGTTAGAGATGGTAAACTCTTATTTGAAGCGGAATTTCCTTTCTCAACTTCACTATCTTTTCATTACTGAAGCCATGCACATGTTTATTTCTCTTAAAGTTTTATTTTTTAAAATCCCAAACTTATCAAAGGCATTTTAAACCCAGCGGCCCAATTTGCTTTTTTGAGATGAAAAAGTGAAATGAGAGATTTTCGAGTTTTTGCATAGAAGCAAATTGGGGCAGTTGGTTCTAAAAGAAAGAGAAATTTTGGGGACGAAATCGAGAGAAATTGATCAGTAAGAAGATCTGAAATGTGAAGAAAAGGAAATAATTATGAAACAAATAGAAAAGAAGAAAGATTTCTGTACATGGGAAAAGAGTGAATGGAGTAGATCCGAGAAGATGATAGGACGGAAGTGGGTGAGGAAAGGGGAGAGGGGAGTGGACGGGGTGGACGGTGGACAGGAAGGGGTGGTGGAGGGGGAGAGGACAGGACGCGAGTATTCACGTACAGAAATACGGCCTTTCTTTCATGCTTTATCGTGTCTCCATCAATCCACAGTTCCAAAATTCCAAGCTTTGTGAGATTTATGGATTGATTTTCGATAGCCAAGTGTTTTATATGTTACGTTCGATTAAGAATTTATCGAATCAATTGTGCTATGTCAATGTCAATGCAAATCAATGTCAATGCAGTCAATGCATTTTTTTCAGGCATTTACTAGTGTTTTCTTTGTTAGTGTTATATTGAATCGTCGACAGATGTTTGTGTTGGTGTTTTCGCTTTCATAGATGCTAAAGAAATCCTGAAAAGATCTTAAAATTAAGAAATCAGTAAAAACTTATTGCATCTAGTTAATAAAAAGGTAAAAAAGCTTCAATATCAGCGTTTGTATACGTTCAATATACTCTCCTATGTAACTGCAAATGTCGAGGTTTTCCGTGAATCAATCTAGGTTAAATTATTCCTTAACTATTAAAACTAACACTCATTAGATATTCAAGCAGATTTGCATTAAGCATTTCACATTTGCACAATTAGATTTGACAAATTCTTAATCGGACGTTCGGATTAAGAATACATTACACGACTAAGAATGTATTCAAATCGGACGTCCGATTTGAATACATTCTTAGTCGGACGTAGCAGATAAGTACACAGTTAATGATGCATGTGACAGAATTCGAAGCTTTAAAAACAGAGAGACAAACATTAGACTCCTACTTTTTCAAAAGAAAAGTTATGACTTTAAAAGATTGAATTACCGAAAGCTTATGCACTGCCCGCCGAGCGCTTCTTGAACGATTTTGCTTCAACGGGAAATTCGACTGATGAGAAGTGATTGTTGTTGATCGATTCTTTGAGGTTTTTCGGTTTTACTCCAAACTAAAATTATGTCAAAAAATTAGAGGAAAGGGTGTAAAACAAATTGAAAGCCCTTTTTGAATTTTGCTAGCGATAAGACAAACAGTGACATACTCACTTAAAATTAAATTGTTGCTTTGTAACAATTGCGAATACCGTTTTAATTCAAATATTTTCATTCATTTCACAAAACAATTTACCGTATTATCTCCTGCAACTTTTGTCTCCTTAATATAGTTTCGTCGAATGTGCCAAATAAAAGCTGATAATGGAACACAAAGTACAAGAGTGATTGTATAAAGAATATAGAGGATAATGAAACGTTGAATTGCCCTCAACACCATATGAGAAAAGAATTCGAAAAAGGACAATGTTGTAGATAATATTTAAGGAAAAGGAGAAGTTTTCAGCTGAAAGGATGAGGGGGAGGAGTCAATCCAAAGAAAGAAGAAGAAAGAAAGAGAGAAAGGACTCATTTAGAAGAAAAGGGAATAAGGAGGGGAAGGCTTACCATCAGATTTCTCGAAGACTTTGAATTTTCAACAACAACCTGATTTTAATGAAACTGTATTTCGGTAGATTTCATGGATGAGTGAACGAAGCAATGAAATCATCTAAGAGTTTTCAAACCAGAAATAAATTTGCGCTAAGCTATTTGCTTAATATATTTTAAATGTAGCAAAAGAGTATACTTTTGAGCTTTTCCCGTTAGAAAAGGTCGTTCAAGGATGACAAACGAAGCACCAATGAAGTAAAACTATTTAAATTTGCATTTGTTACGGATAAATTTGTACTTTTCTTTCATCAAATACTTAAATACTTAAATAAAATATTTTTTTGGAGCTCTTAACGGGAACATTTACAGGTGATCATAAACTTTCACAACTCTGGATACGATTGTGGTTAGGTGAAAGTAAATGAAAGTAAATGAAAGTAAATGAAAGTAATTCTTGTTATTATAAAAATTCAACGCTTTCCACTCTCTGAAACAAATGCATGCCGAATTGTAAAAGTGAGATCCCTATTGGATGATGCGATGTCTTGGAGAGATATGAGAAGACTTTCTCTTTGAAATGAAATGAATGAAAAGAGATTTCATTGGAGACTTTTGGATTTGGAGAGTTGAAAGTCGAGGAATCAGGAAAATTTGTTCGAAAGTCACTGCTCTTCTAGTAAATGAATGTAATTCTTGTTATTATAAAAATTCAACGCTTTTCACTCTCTGAAACAAATGCGTGCCGAATTGTGGTCATCGATTTGAGTCTGGAAAAATTTTCTCGTTGATTTTTTAAGGCAAATTTATAGAAACAAAAAGTAGAAAGATTTGTGCTGCAATAGAGGAATTCAAAAATGTATTTTTCAGTTGAGTTGAGTTGAGTTGAGTTGAAAGTCGAGGAATCAGGAAAATTTGTTCGAAAGCCACTGCTCTTGCATACACGTTGAGTGGTCCTGGTAAAGCAGCAACAAGAGGGTTTCTCGTTCAAAAATCAACCATATTTTCAAGATTTTTGAAACAGCCAATCCACCAATTCAAACTGAAATTGTGGCTAGAACATTAAAAGAACAAAATTTATAGAAACAAAAAGTAGAAAGATTTGTGCTGAAATGTGCTGTTTTTCATGTATACGTGGATTTTGAGCTCCCCGGCCGATGCATGGCCCCCTATTCACAAAATCATCAAAAAACTTTATCTTCATCATCAACTTTATCTTGTTGTGTGACGCCTGAGGCAAAACCAATCCTGGCACCACTATGAGCCTTGAAAAATCAAAGAGAAGATTTTTCCAGACTCAAACCGATGGCCACTTTTTTTCCGGACACTCTGTATAATTGATGCTTGATAAATCGAAATTAAACTGAAGTACCTGAAGGTGGATAATGTTTGGCACTCAATTTTGTTTGATATCTACATAAAGTTCTTTGTTTTTTTTCTACATAAAGTTCAGAAACCCATTCTTGACTGTCCTTTATGTTCACATTCCAATTTCCATAATCTGAGATTTTATCCCTTCTCATAATTCATCTAGGCCAATCTACACCTTCCACTCATTCCTCTGAGAGAAACATTCGATTCAACAATGAATGAGGCTAGTTGTTGATGGAACGGGTTTGGACATTCCCCCAAATCGTCCGGTCTATTGTGAAAATTTCTTCTCAATCCATAGAAGTGGAAAGGAATGGACAAAGATAATGATCTTCGTCGGCCCCTTTTCCACACATTCAATATGGAGAAAAGCCTGTCTGGAAATCTCCTCTAAAGCCATTGTTCAATGGAAACTTTCACCTCGATCCGATTTCAGAAACAAGAGACCGATGCATTGCTTGAGAATCTTTGAGACATTTTAATGATCATGCGATCTGGCTAGTAACAAAGGATCCTGACTTTCCTGATCTACCAGGATAGCTGAGTTCGAGAAATTTTGTTGATGTAGGAAAGGAAATGAGAAACAACCCTTTTTTGCTCAAGTTGAAAATAAAGGAGAAACTTCCAATATATCAATCACTTCCAAATAGTGATCGATATATTGCCCGAAACCATAAAAACGAGTTTTTGCTTTTTAAAGAACAAATTGATGACACTTTTTACCCATTGGCATTCAGATCTCTTGCCAATATTAGGAGAGACATTTTTGGAGAGAATAAGGTCAATCCAGGGGAAAAGAGGGACAATTAGATGATAACAAAAGAGAAAAGAAAAACAAAGAAAAAGAAGGGTATTTGAATATGACCAAAGATACTTATCAATCACTTTCATAAGTAGCCATTCTTTTGCATTCGATCACTTCAAAAAACTTCTTACAGCATGCCCTTGTGTAACTTTACTTGTTTTATTTGTTTAATTTTACGTTCAAAGTGTGAACTATTGGGTTGGTGAATTGAAAACTGCCGGCTATTGTCATATGTGACAGTTTGAGCACTTTCTTCAAAAGAAACCCATTTTGGTGTCAATGGAAAAGTTATAGAGAATCAAAAATTAAGCTTATATCCAAATTTTCAGAACGATTCAAAAACTGGTTTTCAAGAAATGCCAAATTTACGAATTTTCACAAAACTTGCATTTTAAGCCAAACTACTAGGTGTATCTTTTTGAAAATTGGGCTATAAGCCTAATTTTTGATTCTCTACAACTTTTCTAATGACACCGAAATAGGTTTCTTTTGAAGAAAGTGCTCAAACTGGGACATCTCCAGTCCTCCATTTTTGAGTCTAACACTTGTCTCACACACAAACCAAAATCCTACTACGAAAGATGAATCCGCAAATTGCCTGTAAAATGGGCAGAAGTCGTCAATAATAATGGAAATTAGTGGAATGAATTTATGGTTTTATGTTGCATAAATTTTAGTTCAAAGTCCGGCAGTTTTCAATTCACCAACCCAATACTAACACATTGCAAACGGTGTGACACAATGCCGTGTCATGGCCTACTTCTCGTTCTTAGTGCAACCAATTAAGCTCATTTTGGTAGCAAAATGTTGGAAGTTTCAGTATCTGACAAGTGATCGAAAAAATCATGTATTTAATTAATTTGATTTGATCGTATTGTAAAAGTTCCATTAAAATATGTCACATTCAAGTGTGCGTTCTTTTCATGCGCACGAATGAAGTTAAAAAATTTAATATAAAATTTGAAATCAGCACCCTCGAAAGCTCCCGGTGCAAATTTTGGGGCTTTTTGCCAACAAAAATGTCTTCATCATGAATGTGTTAAAGTCTATGTCAGCAAAACAAGCTTTTTCATCTTATCAAAAGAATGAAATCAACACAAAAATGATTTATTTTAGTGACTTGTATGATAATTTCTCAAAATCAAAATCGACATGCTTAAATTTTAGCTTACCTTAGTTTATGTCCAGGTTTATAACCAAGTGTTATTAAGGTTAAAGGCATTTAGCGGTCGCAAAACCCCGAGAGAAACATTTATGGTATTTTGTGTTTAGAAAGATTCTCGCTTTGTTAAGATTCTTTAAGATTCTTACCATCTTAAAAAACCTGCTTAAACAGTTTGGTTTTATATTTACGCAGACAATATTCTGGGATTTCTTTTGATTTCTTTGTATTTTGTTGTTTTCAAAGTACAGACTAAGATGTATTCATGAAGATTCATCTTTTTCTTTTTCTTTTCTTTTACTATTAGTCTCGACTTCTTTTCCTTTTCTTTTTCAACAATCTTATCACTAAATTCAATGGTAGAATTCCCCTTTCAGAAAGCACAAACCATATCGAATGATTCTCGACAAATTTGCTCCTGATTTTTGTTTTCTAATGTTCTCTAAAAATAGGGTTTTTTTGAAAGACACGCATAAAAGACATTAAAAGACAAAGACTATACATTCAACTGTTTCTATTGTTTTTTTGAGTCATCTTCATTTTCCCTAAACACTTTTCTTGGCCTGTTTTGGTTTTTTCTGACGTTCCTCCAAATCAAAACTTTTGCTATCAGTTTTAATCAATTTTTCCTATATTCCATTTACTGGATCAGCCTTTAATTTCTTGTAGGCTTTTGCATCTGAATTTTCTCGATCGTAGTGTTGTAGTCTCTTAATAATCAGCTTTAGTTCATAAATTAATACTTAAACTAAAAGTATGACAAAACTTTAACAAACTGGGGGGAAAAATTCCACGCAACACTTATTCTGAATGATCGAAATCGGCGCATGAAGGCTTTTTTAGAAAAGGGAACCGCAGAAACTGACAATCTGTACTTTGATTTTTGCATTTTGCCATGCAATCCTCTGACTCGATTCTTTAAACCCTTTTGAATTGAGCCTGATGTTTGATTTTGGATTAGATTTTGTCTACTCAAAAAGGGTAACTTCACACTCATTTTTTCAGGAAAAGTTAGAAATTCGAGTACTTATGGGTTAGTACAAGTACAAGTACATTCGAGTACAAGTATCAATGAGGGTTTTACCCCCCTCAATTTACATCTAAAGAATTTTTGCATAATCTGCTTTCTCTTTTGACTGAATTTCACTTCCTTCGTGAAGAAATTTGGATACTCTTTCGTCGCCACGTTTCATTTTGGTTATATCCCGCCACCAAAATGGGGGTACAAAGGGTTTCTCCTCGTTTTTTAACATTAAAGTTACAACTAAATCACTAACACTTGAGAGTTAAATTGAAAACGGAAGAAAATCCTCGTTCCCACCCCCATTTATAACCGAAAATTGCCAAATTTGCATAAAAAGCGAGTAAAATTTAGTTTTCCCAACCCAAAATGACGCATGACAATCTTATCAATGCAATTGTCTAACCGTCTATTTTTGTCTAAGCAAACTGGGGAAGGTAAAGCCAGTTGATGGCAAGTATGTGTAGCCCATAAGTACCAAAATTCGGTTCA